CAATAGCCCTCCATCCTTATTAATAGTTTTTTTGTTTCCCCAGAATTCGTTTTTGGTAAGATCCAAAGGGGGGGGGGGGGAAGTTCAAGAAGCATTTTTTGCAGGGTTTACATACAATATCTCGTATTTAAAGTTTTACTTGACAGCTGACAGTTGTAAAAATTACAGTAAATTACATTAAAAAAGTTATCAACCATGCTAAATTTAGTATTTCCTCAACCCTAAATGCCCTTCTTCTTGGATGAGAATTCATTAGCACCTAAAGACAGATTTTGGGCCATCTTTCTGGACCACCTAATCTACCCTAAACATATGCTTGTCTATGTTTGTACTGTAATGTTGTATGCAACAGGTCCTTTCAGAGTGAAGCCCAGGTAAAAAGTGACATTCTCATTGTTGTGGGGTACTGAGGATGTCTTCAGAGCTGGGATATAAAATTTCATTCCTTTGGGACCCTCCAGAAATACCTTCTCATCTTCCATCCAGCCTGTGACACATTTCAGCAATTTAGAAATTTCTGGCATTTTCCATACTTCTCCACTGAACCATTTCAGCCGTTTTTCTGAAACTGAGAACATTTTTGTGATTGTTTCAAACTTACTCTTGTGGACAAATTTTTCAAAACCAGTCCCATTGCTCAGGAAGAAATGAGTGTAGATCCTCTTTTTCCTTGGAGGGATGTCTTTCAATTTCTTGTCATAGAGTATCTGGAGGTGTTCAATTGCAGAGAGCACAGTCTCATACTTGTGTTCTTTCTCTGCTTCTGTGTCATGTTCTTCTGGCCAGAAAAGTAAGATGAGCAAGAAGAGAGTACTTGATAAGCATCTCTGTTTCTCTCTAGGAAACTGGTCACTCAGACTTTGTAGATCCTGAAATGCAACCAGCTTGGGAGACTGAGTTGAGAGACAACTTAAAGCAAAGTGTGACGCTATGTAGTTGACAAGGTCCGCTTGTGGCATTTGCGCCCCCATCGGCTTGCTTGGGTAAAGTGAAATAATTTGCTCCAGAACCATGACAGGACTTTCTGGTTTAAGACCACAACAATCTTTCTGGTTTGTTAGAAGGGAAAAAATGGTAGTGATGTTTCCCCCACCGTGATGATAAATCATCATGCGTTTCATGACAGGAGTAAACTTCCCTTGGTTTTGATCTTTACTTTGAGAAACACCACTAAAGTATTTACCATAAGCAGAAGACTTATTCACCAGCCAGTGCATGGGGTACTTTGTGGTCCTCTCAACAGTCTCCGATGTCTTCTCCTCATCGGTGTTCAGGTCAGTCTGGAAGTAACTCAAGTCTTCTGAAATCCATTCTAGCGCCTCCAGTATTATTTTTTGGATGTTTTTCAGCTTCCCATGAAAAATTTCCCATGGTATTTCTACCTCAGCAGGCATATAATCTGTGAGGAGGTATTTTATGCATCGGGAATGATTTCTTCCTGAGAACACATCAAGAGAGGAAATCAGCTTTAGCAATTCGCATCCTACTTCTACTACTCCAAAAAAGCCAGCATTGTTAATGGTCTCATTGTCTTCAACTGCTGCTTTCTCACATTCCTGAAAACATTCAATAGCCTTTAGTGCTGTTTCCAAAGCATCTACTACATTTTCAGGTGTTTTTTCAGTTTGCTTCATGGCTTTAAATTTAGCTGTGAACCATTGCCTGTACACCTGACCTTTGGTATCAAGAAAGTAAGAATTGTTTGGCCTTTTCGCAACAGCAGTCTTTGCCCACTGTTCTGCTTCTTCAAATCTGTCATGTTTGTAATTGAGTCGAGCCAGCTGTTGAGCAAAAAATGCATCCTCATGAAAACGTTTGTAAGCGGCCTTGAGAAGCTCAATAGCTTTATCTGGACACTCTTTCTCTCTCACATGCTCAATTAGGGGAGAGAAGAAGGTGTCCATTTTATCACCTTTACTGATTCTGCGGCGTGTCATGAACAGATCTCGCAAGAACTTCATGTACTGATCTTTACCAAACCTGTGCTCAAAGAGCATATTGTTGTTGAGAAGATCCAAAGCGAGATCACTTTGTTGTTGCTTGTCACCCAGAAGTTGATGGAGTAATTCCTTTGCAATCAGCGGATGAATGATTCGGATCAACTTAATGTAGGTTTTTTCATCCCTCAAGTGTATTAAGACCAGTCTAGCTTGCTCACTCAGAGAAGTCTCAAAGGCATGTTGTCTAAATCTATCCAAATGAATGGAAAGGCCCAGGAGAGCTTCGCAATGTGACTGAGAGATGAATGAGTTCTGCACGTAAGTGTTGAGCAATGCCACATACAGAACAAGCGTAGTAACAGCAGACTTGATATCAATGCCTTGCAGTAAATGCTTGACAAACTGCTTCACATATTCAATAATTTTGTGGCTCTCAAATTCCTCACTCATCAGGACAAATGTTAGAATGAATTCTGGCTTGAACTGTTTTTCAAGGCTTCGTCGTTTTTTGGAAAACTGCTTTTTTTCTGTCTCTGAAAGCTTATGAGTAATAGAAACATTGTGTTGAGGTGATACCTTGCACATTTTTTCTGGATTGTGAGATCTCCTACAACTTAGCAGGATGAAGCAGAGAGTTCCACGTGCTATTTTCTTGGTATTGACGGCCACTTCCAATTCATACTTGACATCTTCTAAATACTCTTGATCACAGTCTTCAAACAGCAGAAGTACAGGGAGGCATTTTTGGGGATCTTTTTCTTCATATTCTCGAAGCCAAATGGCATCTTCTGAAACAACCGATGCTGAGTATGAAGGTTTTACAACTGCACACCTTAGATCTCTTCGGTTATTCCACAGTACCTGCCATGCCACTGTACTACCACCACTGCCCGGATGATGGTACATGTTGATGCAGCTGATGGGTGCCCGGTCCAAACTCCAACAAAGACATTCTTTCACCAGACTGTTGACTTCATTGTAAGCATCTCTTTGAATAACCTCTCCAACTATTTTTTGATCCGCAAGCCAGAGATTCATCCAAGTTACTTTTCCTCCATGGTAAAACTGCTGCTCAATATTCTCTTTTTCAAATTCAATGACATCAGGACTTGTTTCCTCGCAGTGGTTTAGACTCAAAATCTCCAAAGAACATCTCATTTCCTCCTCTCGAGTATCAAGGAAACACTCTCCTTTTACATGGATCGGTAATAGTTTCATTGTCCGTGTAGTCGTAGGCTGGACCTGTTGGAGGGTTGCATTTACTTGACTTATTGTCATCCCAACAACACTTGAACTATTTACTGTTTCCATGTCACAGGATCCTAGAGCAAAGCTGTGCCATTTCTTGAAATTCTCCTCAGATTCTGCAAGGCAGATAATGTCTTCATGTCCTTCCATGTCGGTGATGAACTCATAGAACGTGTTTAGGAAAGGTGTGTCAACAGGGGAAGTAAGGAGGAAAATCACTTGAAAGGTTCCTTTGGGTAAGATGTCTTTGCAAATCAATGACACACAATCTTTTAGGAGGGTCCTTTTTGTTTTAACCCAAGTCTTCTCATCACAGGGAGGCTCGTTGCCTTTGAAATCGTTCCGGCCATTGCAAAATATCCAGCTGATTTGATCAAACAAACGCAGATGACTCTCAAATTCTCGGATGCTCAAGCCACTGGGAATTTTGTAGTTCTGCATGAAATGGCGGTTCACTACATGGTGCTTATTGTATTCATGGCACAGCCCAGACACGTTGGAATCTGGATCAAAGTCAAACACGCAGAAGATGTTCATGTTCAACAAAAAATCAATGCTTTGCAGATCCTTCTCCTGAAGTCTGTTGGTAACCAGTATGTGCCATTTTTCCTTGTCCAGTATTTTCTTTCCACCCGTTATGAGCATGATGAGCTTTTTTCCCAGGTTCTGGCACAGATCTGGTGCTGAGAAATTATTCCTTCTCTCTGCCTCTTCTCTCTGAGCATCCCTAAAACTGATGTGTTGGTAGAAGTCACTGAGGTCAGCCACTGGTTCGGTTTTAGGACCCACTCTGCGAAAAGCAGTGTTCTTCTCAAGCTGAACTTTGTTTGCCTTCTCATTGAAATTTGGCAAGCTAACAGAGAACACCCTATTCTTGACTATGCTAACTACTGGCTTAATATCAACCTCCACAACGTAGAGTTCCTCGTTGCTGTTTGAACAGACTACTTGAACAAACTGAGGTTCACCAATACATAATCGTACAAGTTCCCTATCAGAGATAGAGAAACTCCTCTCTATGTAATCTAATGCATCACAGTATACATCTTTTTCCTTAACAGGAATACCAGTGATTTCGCCATGTACGTAACCAGTGTCACCTCTACTGTCCATGACACCAAAATGTATTGTGCCATTTGTACGAACATTCATACAACCTGTAGCAAATTTCAGCACTTCCTTTGCAAACTTGGCCTGTAGTCTTTGGTGGTCCAGTGTTGCAGCAATTGCAAATGACTTATACTCATGACATGGACAAATAAAATCAACAACCCCTGATTCTGGTAAGAGTACACTGTTTTTGACATATGTAAAATCAACACCTTTCATATCAAAAGGTCGTAGTTTTGAATCTCTCTTTGTTTTTACCATAGGCACAAAATCTTCTTTATGCTCTTCCTTGATGTCGGCTGTTGTTTCAAGACTTTTAATTGCACTTGCTCCATGGTCATTTTTTCCAGAAGTCTGTTTGTGTAAATGTTGGCTCTGGGCCTTCTGTGAATTTACTAACTCATTTCTTTTTTTGATTATTAAAAGTGCAGGCCCGGATTTCATTCCAATCTTTTTTTCCAGATATTCTTCTGAGAGTTCACAAAGGATCCGGCCATCCACTTCCTCTTCATGAAGTTTTTTGATGTTTGTTTCTTTAACTCCTATTGACCTTAACCAATTGCTCACCATCGACTCAGTCCATGTCTCTAGTGGAGAATCCTCTGGCTTCTCTGCAAACGAAAAAAAATAGGTGAGATCATGTTCATTTAAACTACTTTAAAATAATGACTGGTAAGTGCTGAAAAACAACATTATACTTGCCCATTGTTTAATGGCTTCTAGTGATAATTCACAGTACAAACTCAAACATCATAACATTGCGAACCTTGAAAAACAGAAATTACACCGTTATAGCAGAGACATTTTGAAGCCATGAACAATACATTTATCTGCATTTTCTCCAGCAAACATTACATTACATAAATAAATACATTACATTAAATAAATGTTCAACACAGGGTGTAAACACAGAAAGTTGCTTTCATTTAACTGTTTATTGCTAATGCATCACAGGGGGAGGGGGGGAGGGGGATCTTTGCCATTGTACTATTTTATGGCTGATGTGTTTTAATTAATAGGCTAATAATGAACCACAAACTACGATCGTTTAAAAAAAAAAAAAAGGGAAATCCAAAGACCGTTTATTTATTTGTTACAATGCGGGTAAAACATATTTTCCTTATTCATATTGTTAATAAAAGTTCAAAATTTTATATAAGTAAATAATAATGAGCCACAAACTAAGCATTCGTTTGAAGAGGAAAATCCAAAAACCTTTTATTTATTTGTGTATAACGAGTGTATATCTGATTCGTTCTGTTAATAAAAGTGTTATGTTTAATATAAGCTACTTTGTCATTGTAGTATTGCTGATGTGTGTGTGGGATTTTTTTTTTTCATTAAGAGTAATACTGAATCAACCTTAAGCATTAATTTTGTTCCAAGAATATGAAAGACCTAACGTTAAATATCAAATTAAGTGCTGTAGAAGCGAGAATGCGAGATTGTTATTATTATTGGTTGCTGCTGAGGTAATAGACGCTCTCGGACTTTCTCGGTTGTATCTTCGCAATGGCTGTAGAAACGGTCGTTAATTCTTGATTTGGGTCCAGCACAGACACGTTGCAGGTAATAATAATATGGCGGCTTGTCGCAAGTACACCCGGCTGCAGCCTGCAGATCGAGGCGGGGCTGCACCTGAGGCGGTGCTGCACGTGTCGCCCCGCCCACAACGCTTCTCATTGGTTAGTGGCGAAGTAATGACGTCGACACCGCGGTAAACAGGAAATGCGGTTGAAACAATACATGGTAGTAATACGTAATTATATAAAACAAAACTGTGAACCCGTTAATTACTTATACCTGGTAAAAATATATAGTATTAAACAATACATTGTAAATTTGTTAATTTTTGGAAAACGTTTCATTATGTTCATTTCCAAGCAAGAATCCAGTTACTGCTTTTGACTTGTCACATTGCAATCGCAATGTCAACGAATATAGTTTATTTACAACTTAAGTTTTAAGTTATTTCTATTCATGTGTATTGGTCATTTACAACTTACAACTTATTTATGGTTGTTTTTTATTTTAATTTCAGTATATGCTTTACTGTTACATGTATTAATTATTAACATTTAAATAAAAGTTGAATTATCAGCAAGTGTCAAGTCTTAAGATGTTATTAAAATTAATGGTAACACTTTACAATAAAGTTCATTAAACAATGTATTAACTAACCATGAGCAATACATTTGTTACTGTATTTACTAATCTCCGTTAACGTTAGTTAATAAATACATTTGTTTATTGTTCTTTCATGTTAGTTCACAGAGCAACTGTATTTTCATTAACTAATGTTAACAAGATTAATCATGTATTAGTTAATTATTAACATTTAAATAAAAGTTGAATTATCAGCAAGTGTCAAGTCTTAAGATGTTATTAAAATTAATGGTAACACTTTACAATAAAGTTCATTAAACAATGTATTAACTAACCATGAGCAATACATTTGTTACTGTATTTACTAATCTCCGTTAACGTTAGTTAATAAATACATTTGTTTATTGTTAGTTCATGTTAGTTCACAGAGCATCATCAGGGGAGGCACAGCTTCCCCATAATTTTGAAGTGAAAATGGGAGAAGGACGATTTAATGTTAATAAAATTCACAATTCATTTCAGTTCATGCCTCAGAATGTGTATTTTTTGTTTGTAATTTCACAGTTGTAATAAAATAACGTGAAAGCGCTGCTTTTCTATCGCGAATGTGCCGAATCTACTGATGTAATTGCAACCACTAATGATAGAGAAGGGTAGGGGGAGGCCAGGGGAGAGGTGAGCTCTCGTGCCTCCGTTGGTAACAAAAATTAGCCAAACACCATTGAGTGTTCACTTTCAGCGCTGAGGAGTGTTGAGAAAAGAACCCTTGCAAGGGAGGCTAGCCTCCCTCCTGATATCAACCAATCATCAAAGAGACGTAAATTACGTGATATTAGTTTGAACGTCTCCCGCTATGCTGATAATGTACCAAGTACTTATGAGTAGCGATATTGAATATTTGATCACCAACAGATTTACCAAGGTGTCATTCAAACAGTATACAAATTTAGCGAAAACAGCCTAAACTGGATATAGGCTACAGCAGTCGGCTTAATTAAATGGCGCAACAGGCAGCGCTCTCTTAACACAGACTTTTAAGGGATGGATGTTTGCTTCAAGTGATAGGCCAGGTAAGTGAAGTTATATTATCTTGCTGTATGTATGTCGTTTTCTTTACGTTTTCTGACTAAAAGCAACACACACAAATAAGCCATTTTAAAGTGGTTAAACACATTATAATAATAATAATCGGCAGGGATGCCAGACCAATACAATTAGTGTGCCTCCTCTATTTTAAAATCCACGAGCCGCCACTGATAACATGATCAAAATGTCATGGCAACAAACGACTTCCTAAGTCAGTTTAAGTTGAAACGACTTTCACAATCAATTTGATTAAACTTAATTCATGTTTTACTATTGCTTGTCACTGTAGGCTTAGGCAATTTTTTTCTATGAATTTTAATGACTATACAAATGAATTAAATTAGTTTTATTTATTTTTTGTTACAAAATTTTAATTTATTTATTTTTAACCCCAGCCCCCCCATTTTTTCTTGGGCTACACACCGGGGGTACATGCCAGGACTATACAGTATAAATGACTGGTTTACATATTTTACATATAACTTATATGTTAATCTTAAATATTTCATCATGTTAAAAGTATGTGGGAAACACAACTGGGGGCATAAATAAAATGCCCAATATAGTTTATTTTTATGGATGGGTTTAGGCCTGGGCGATAAAACGGTATCGATATTTAACAACAGTACACCATCATCGATAACGATATAAAAAATGTTTGATGCACGATATAGTTTCACGCTTTTTTCATTTAAAGGCGTGTGTTATGAGTGACAAGCAGACTGCCAACAGAACACACAAACACATGCTGAAATGAGTGCCTTGCCTGCCTGCGATGTGGAGACTGTGAATAACAAAAAGGAATATTAGTCAAAAACGGTGTATTTGAATTTTAGGTGTGCGTCAGGAAGCCTTATCAGTGACGCACTAGATGCGGCAATGATGATGTAAGTGTCGTTGTTATGACTATTCAAAAGTTTGGAATAAGTAGGATTTTTTTTAAAAAGAAAGAAATTGCTCTATTTAGAAAGGATGCATTAATTTGATCAATAGTTACAGTAAAGACATTTATATATTCTATTTCATATAGATTATTTAAAAATTTCTTTTGAACTTTCTATTCATCAAAGATTCTTGAAAAAAAATGTAGCAATGTTTCCACAAAAATATGAACCAGTTGTCAACTGCTGAAATTGATGCAAGCTTCAACATTAAGAATAATAATAAATGTTTTTGAGCAACAAATCAGCACATTAGAATGATTTCAGAAGGATCATATGACCAGTGTTAGATAGTAGTTATATAGTGATTACACATAATCTGGATTACACAGATTAAAAAAATTAAGTACTTGTAATTAGAGTATATTTCATTTTATAATGCTCAATCAGATTACAGTTACTTTTTTATGGATTACATGATTACATATTATTCACACAATGGCAGTAACATAGACTGTATAAAAACAAGGACGTAGTGTCAAGTGGGCGGAGCCAGCCGTCGCCATCTTTGCAGCGCGTCACCGCGCATCACTCTCGGATAATCGAAAATGGGCAAAGAGGCTGCTGAAACCACGCCCACCTAGCTCGACGGCAGTGTCAGCAGCGGCAATGCACCTGTCACTCAAGTGGCCACGCCCTTAATTATGCAGAACTTTAAGGCTTAATATAATTTAAACGGATGAGTTATAAAATAATTCACCCCCCTCACAGTTGTCATGAAGGGCAAAATTAGCTATATAGACCAAAATAATCTTTTGAACCAGGCTGTAAACGTTTTTTTTCTGCTGTAAAGTTGGGCATTTTAACATGGGGAGTCTATGGGATTGACTCCCTTTTGCAGCTAGCCTCTAGCGGCCAGTCGATGAATTACAGTTTGTCACTTCCTTGTTGGCTTCACGAGAGAGAGCGGGAGATTGCCGCTTGGGGCAGTAATCACAATTTATTGATTCGCCCTAATTCTTATTTTTTCTCTTTTAAATTTTCCTTTCTAAATATCCTACTGTGTCATACCACTAGCTTTGACTATATTCACAATATAGAATGGCCATGTAAATGTCATGTAAACAAATCTGCAAACCATGCTTCTGAATTTGGAAGCAAAAAAACACCTCCAGATCAAGTTACTAAACACTGATGATGTATAGTTATGAAACACTATTTATCATATTCAGTGACCTTCAGTAATTGTTGGTTCTGGAATTCTGGAAAAACATTTTTTCAAACCTGAATGACTTTGGGCATGTTTATTATTCATGTTTATTAATGTTTGTTCATGTAATGCAGTGATTCCCAAACCGTCTGGCCCCATTCACTGCCATTGTATTGCTTCGCAGTAACCCACCTCTTGCTTTTTTAAGAAAAGGAGAAACGAGCTGACTTTACGTATCACTTTACGTAGAGTTTTAGACCTGGTATTTTCATGATTGGATTGCTATCCGATCAATAAAACGCATTAGCTACTATTTACCCCGATGCTTCCCTCTCTAAAGAAAAATGCCCCCGTTCTGCAGTGACAAAATATGAAGTTTGGTTACACTATATTCTAGAATATTTTGGGATTACAAACAAACAAACAAACTCACAGTGGCTCGTCTTTCCTGCACTGACGCGGGTTCAGCCACCACCCTCTCGCGCAGGATGAATGGACGAATCTTCAAAAAGGACCAAACTTTGATCAGTAAAACAAGATGTAAATACCAATGTAAATCAAATATATCATGCAAAACTGTTAGATTATTAGCATATCACAAGCCCTACCTAATAAACAAAAGCGTCGCAGTGCGTGCGTGCGCGCGCAGTTACCAAAATCGCGACTCCCACTGCGCCGGTGCAGCATAACTTTCGATTTCCTGGAGATGAAAGTAAATGTTTCCTACATAGACATAATAAATATTTATTATGTCTATGGTTTCCTATCCATGTATATGCTTATAAACAACAATATAAAGTAATAAATATAATGTAAAGTAACCGAACAGAATATTGAACAAAGTAAAAAAGTTACAAAAAAGCACGTAAAGGCACACACCTTTTGTCGAATTACAAGTTTTCTTCACAGTCATTCCTCTGTGGGATGCATGTACGAAGTGTCCTCAACCTAGAATTAAACGAGACGGCCTTCGTAGGACAGGCGGAAAAGGAAACAGGAAGTATCACGTTGCTATGCCAACACACTACTTAAATGAAGGAAAATTATTTCTAAATTTGGAAAGTAATTTGACAAAAAAAAAAGATTTGACTTGTTTTATTTTGTTCAATGTTTGAGGAGCTGCAGCGTATGTACAGCAGACATCTGTTAGAGAAAAAAAGGAGGAGGATATTAAAAACAAAGTTAATCCGTTTTTACCTAGGCGATTTAACCCTTTCGCAGGTGAGTTTAAAATATTCTAGCTGAGCCCCCAGCGTGAGTTTTTTTAGGCGACCGTTATTTTAGAATGTATTGCCTTATTGTTTCCATGGCGACGCGTCATGCTTGTCATGTGACACAACGCAACCACAATAGCGCTGTATGACACATGGATCGCTTTTATTACATTTTTCCTGTTTTATTCAAAATATTCACAAACATGCTCACTATATTATGAAATATCTGATATTCCGATTCTGAAATATGTACAAGTAAATCTATTTGGTAGTTTAAACTTTTATATCGACCGTGTTATTTGATCTATACCGTGTGATGGGCGCCGCCATGTTAGTTCGAGCTGAATACGAGCTGTGGGATTTACAACACACAAATTCATCCTCTCCTCCCGAAACACGTTAAATTAGGTTTCTGGTAAACTGGGAGAAGAGCAGAGTAAACTTTATAGTTACCTACACAATCTGTATATGATATCAATAAAAACATGTCAGATTATATTTTTTAGGATGATTATTGCCCTGTCCATAGACATCAGCGTGTATTTTCCAAATTATAGATGTATGGTTTTGCTAGTACTTGTGTGTATTTAAATGTCTGAAAGCTCAAATAAGCATTATATTACGGTGGCCGAGAGAGCTCAACGCGCTGCAACTTAAGAAAACACATGCAAATTGAAAAAACACCAGCAAATTAAGAAAACATCTTCATCAGTTTGACAACACACCCGCTGCAAATCCTCACAACACATGCAAATGAAGAAACGCGCTGCAAATAGCACGGACCACAACGGAAATGTTTCATGGGGACCCAAAAAAGTGACGGACCCGGCTGGGATTTGTTTTGTGCAGTGGCTTTTTTTTTGAGTTTCTGCTAGTGATTACTTTTTTTAAATTATTTTTACATTTAAGTTATTTTTTATTTTAATTTATTTATGATTGATTTATTTAAATAGGGAAGAAAAAAAAAGTTCGGCAAAAGGCGGGATCGAACCCGGGTTGAACCCGGGTTGATCGCGTCAAAAAGCCAAGGACACACTTTATCCATCTGTTCCACTGGAGCTGATGATTTACAGCCACTTTTAACTAAATCTAAATAGACACCGCATATTTTTTAATTCCATAGTAAGGGCAATTCATACTATACATTTAAACTGAGCTACTTTAATACCATCGCCAAACTTTCTAGCAGGACTCTGCTGTTCTTCCCTGTATACGTTGATTGACAGATGTCTCATCCAGTCAGCGGTGAGTAATCCCAAACCAATGGCGCTGTCTCAAACTATACCTACCTTTTCTGGTTTGTCTGATTTGTCAGTGTTTTCTGATTTATAATGTTTTCTGAATTATTTTGTTTTTTAGACTTGCATTTGCGTTTGTAATTTATTTTGTTTTCAGAATTGTGATTTGTTTAGCACTTCTCGGCCACCGTACATACTCCCTTTTTGATTCTTTAAAAAAATGTCATCACATAATCAAGAATATTGCTCAAAACTTGTAGTGTAATCTTTTTATTCCAAGCATAGAAATGTGCACATATACATACTAGGCCATTGTCATGGGGAATATTTAGAAATTTAAATATGACAACTCAACAAGTGACGGGTATCTCTTCAGCAGGATTCTTTATTGAAAATATGCTCTTGCACACTGCAGTTAAGTCAAGTCAAATCAGTCAAGTCAAGTCACTTTTATTTGTATAGCGCTTTATACAATACAGATTGTGTCAAAGCAGCTTTACAGTGTCAAACAGGAAAATAGTTTGTCAATAATGCAAGAAGGCAGTTCTCCTCTGGCCAGACAAAACCAACATGGGGTGGTTTAATTCCAGGCTGCAACACAGGTGCAGAGGTCTTGTCTGGTTCTCGTGGTCTTGTGCCGATGGCCGTCGAGGTGACGAGGTCTTCGCAGGGGATCTGTCTCTGGGGCGCATCTAGTTGACGTGCTCTCTGGTGACATTCAGGGCTGTAGAGGTCATCTCTAGGTGCTGATCCACCATCTGATCTGGATACAGACTGGATCCGCATGGCTAAAGTAACCTATAAGAATGAAAAGAGACTAATATTAGCGTAGATGCCATTCTTCTTACGATGTAGCGAGTACATCCGGTGATATGGGAAGTGTTCCTGGTTCTGGTTGACCTAGTTAATGCAGTCTAACAACCCTTTAACAGATTTGAATTATAGAAATGCAATAGTGTGTTATCTGTCAGGTTAAAGAGATGGGCCTTTAATTTGGATTTTAAACTGACAGAGTGTGTCTGCCTCCTGAACAACGCTAGGTAGATTGTTCCAGAGTTTGGGCACTAAAGAGAAAAAGGATGGAATTTAAAATAAATTTGAGCCCGCAGTTGATTTTGATATTCTGCATATTATCAAATGGCCAGAGTTTTGAGATCGCAGCGGACATGAAGGACAATAATATAAGAGCTCGCTCAAGTACTGAGGAGCTAAACCATTCAGGGCTTTATAAGTAATTTGCTAGATTTTGTATTCAATGTTCAATGGGGAGCCAGTGCAGAGTTGACAGAAACGGGATTATATGGTTGTAATTCCTGGTTCTTGTAAAAACTCTAGCTGCTGCATTTTGGACCAGCTGGAGTTTGTTTATTAAGCACACAGAGCAACCTCCCAATAAAGCATTACAATAATCTAACCTTGAGGTCATGAAAGCATGAATTAACGTTTCTGCATTTGACATCGAGAGCATACAGTAGGCAGGGCCGGATTAACAATAGGGCTAGGTGGGGCTGAAACCCCAGGGCCCGAGCAACGAGGGGGCCCGTGATTGGATGTGGAGTAGATTGACTGAAGCGCCAATCGCCAAAGCGCCATGTAATGTGATGCATCAGTATACATGTATTTTTTCTTAATACAAAACCCAGTAATTGAAACATAAATGTGTCATTTTTAGGGCTGTATACAAATAACTAAATAAATAAAACTGCAAAAAAAAAATTATTTGCCAAGCAAAATTAACCCATCGATCACAATAGTGACCGTAAGGAAATTTTTCATTTATAAAGCTCTAAAAATGTGTCTGGTGTTTTAGTGCATTTCCTGCAAGGTCTCGATTAAATATGTGCAGTGTCACATGGTTAGTGCAAATTGTCACATAACCAGAGCAGTTTACTTCGTATTTGCACCATGAGAGGAGGATGGCTGCATCAAAGCTCCAAAATAAAAGGTTAGTAAAATATGTTAACATAGGTTGACCATATTTTAGTTTTCCTAAGAGGACAGTGGGTGCAGGTGGGGCGGGGGGCTGGCGTGTGGTTGGTTGGTTGGTGGTTAAAGCAGTTAAAGCAGTAAAACAGTTTTACAGTCACTGTTATGCATATTGATCATAAACGCAGCTAAAAAGCTTCCTACCAGTGGCCCTCCTTCACAAAACATAACAGCACAATTTTATCATAGGCAGTAGAACGCAAAATGTTTCTATTGATAGTTTTCACGTGACGTCACACCCTTACAAGAATGCCCACATGGAGGGCAAAACAAGGCTTTCCTCAACTGACCACCAGTTATTTTTAGGAGGATTGCATTTAGTATTAATGTAGTAAGACAGTGATATTTAAAGGCCAAATTAGTTATACACCTTATTGATGATGCACAGGCTTTGTACAGGCAAGCAGATGAACCCATAATATAAATGCAATGCGCAAAGTTTAATATAAATATTTTCCCATAGAACACCATTATAAAGACGGTTAACCATTTAGCACACTGCACTCATATTCCAGGCTCATTTGCTTGCCTGCATAAAGCACGCATCATCATTAAGTCAATAAGGTGTGTACTAATTTCATCTTTTAATATCACTGTTTTAAAGGTACTTTAAGTGTTTTCACATTAAACGTTTAGAATGTACCGCTGTTTTTAGTGATTGACATATTGCGACAGGTGCTTTATGGATTGATAATGGCCAAAACTTGCATTTTGTTCACATATCTTTGTTTTATTCTTTTGAGAGATGATCTAAATACTTTTGGATTGGAAGAGATAGAAAATTGACAGTCTTTTGCTGCAGTTCTATGGATGTTTTGCCCGCCAGGTCTTCGGACCAGTCACATGACTGAAAACTACCAATACAAGCATTTCAGTCAAATGTAATTTATGCAACATTTCAAACCTTTAACCCATGGGGGGAAATCAAACCATGGCAACAGTTTAAAAGTAGCCCAATTCCATCGAAAAAACAAAACAAAAACATGGACTTGACAACCCTGCATGCAACGTGAGCTGCAGGAGTCAGATTTCACTGACCATGGGTTGAGAGGAGAGATGGCTGACAGACCATGCTGGAGGATTTGCTGCTCAACAGATCCTGAGCTCATTGACAAATATCTGATCTTCCTTTACAGAGCGTGATCGCGAAATCGAAAGTGAACAGCGAGCGCTCATTCAAAAGAGATTTAAATACTCCGCATATTGATAGCGCCTCCTTGATGCGCGAAAATTATATGCAATATTAGAATGTTTGCGGAACTGGACACAAAAATCACAGGAGCGGGAGATAATGGTCAGAAATTCAGCGGGAGCTGGATTAAGAAAAGTCCCTCGCAGGGCTCGAATACAAAAAGGCACACAATGAATGGCAACTGTAGAAAGCAAAGGCCGAATCCCAGACATTTTGGGCAATTTAGAAATCCCGGCCGGAGGCATTTTTTTAGGTCCGAAAAGAGGAGGTATGGTCACCCTAGTTAAAGACATGACAAAGATTTTTGGAACACATTATCTTTAAGGTGTCTAGTATTAATATATGAATTCACAATTATTTAGTTCTGTTGAGTGTGGTCATAGAATAAACATGTTGATGACAACAATAATGACCAATGGGATAATACAGTGTATTTAGTCCACAACATGCATCCAAATGCAGTTGTTAGTAAAGGTTGCACTAAAATGTCGCAATGAAAGTTACAGTGAGTATCGCACTAAATTAAAAGTTCAAATGTTACAAATAAGTTACAATATTTATGTTTTAATACTGGTTGCACTAATATAAAAATTTTATAATAGAGTAAAATTTTGAAATATGTAGATTCCCCCCCCGTATTCCTATCAGTGTTGAAACAGTTTAAAATGTGTTAATAACTGGACTGAGATTTATAAGAATTTTGCTGACTGCAACATTTGTTTAAAATCCAGTATAACATTATCCCACCGGTCACAATTGTGACTGACCATAAAACACAATTTTTCACACACTTTTCCATAATTTTTTTTAAAAATAATTGATTATTTCAAGGGGTTACTAATGATACATTATTTGGATATTTTCATGTCTAGGAAATATTTGGGTTTAAATGGGTTAAGTGAATTAATGTTATTGTCTTCCATCACACCAAAATATGATGCATTACTTCTGTATGTATCAGACTGAATATGTATTGGTCATCATCAGTGATTTCAGCTGTTACAACATCTAAAATATGATAAATTATGAATTAAAGCGCACCTAAATAATGGTGCTGAGAAACTTTAATAACCTCTCAAATGAAAATGCACAGTTAAGAGTTAAAAATAAAGTTTTCTGTAGTCCCATTGCATCGGAACAGTTTAAAAACCAGGTTCTGTGTTTTGTGCTAATCGTCATTCTACCTGTTTACATTCTGTTTTACTTTACAGTGAGCTGCAATGGTGTATGCTTACTGGTTTTCCTAAATTATACACAAACTGTTAAAAAAAGTACATGTAAACGGTGGTAGTTAGTAGTTACTGTTTGCATCATGATGACATGTATAAATAAAAATGTTTATACTAAGTGCAAGTAGAGATAGATGCTATTCTAACAAAAATTAAATAGAAGTAACATGTTATATATAAAATATTTGAGCAATGGTGAGCAATTGGAGCATTGACTTGACATTAGCGAAAACAGGCTTTACCAAGAAGGTTGGCTATTTGCACTCATATCTGGTCCAAAGGCTGGTAAAAACGTGCTTGGCATTGCACAATAGCAGCTTTTATTAACACTACATGTAAAAAGGCATTACTGCATTTAATAATTTTCCCCTCAAAATGTGCCATTTAAAAATATATAAGGAACATTAAAAACATGTAACATTATAAAAGCTCCATTTGGAATATTTCAGTTCAAAATTTCATGCATTTTAGATTACAATGCTGTATATGGTCTGAACATATGACCAGCATCAGGCCCAGGAGAGACATTTTTCCTAGTATTTCCTGACAACAGCCCATAGTTTTTGAAGCAGGGATCCATTAAAACCTAGAAAATAGTTTAATTATTTCCCTATATAAGAACCATTTAAGAGAATCACCTGAAAGCATTCTCTACGACAAAGCTTACATCTCGCCCACATGAACTGCACAATCTTGGCAAAGTCAGCCATTGGATGCCACAGAAAGGGCAATACATTCTGATCTGAAGAACAAAAACAAGTTGACTGAAGTTTGCACGTTGTATTTGTATTCCATTGTCCTTTCTTTCATTAAATCGTATGCCAAATTTTAGGATTTTTTGTATTGATTTGAAATGATTTTCTGAATCTCTCTGCTCATCACTTAATAAGAAAGCTGTTAAAACTACTGTGTTGATGGAAAAATATTGACTTTGATGTAAGGGTTACCTCCTGTGTATTCTTTGAAGTTGACATTTTATGTGTAATTTTCCATTTAAGTTATTTTTTATTTTAATTTATTTATGATTGATTTATTTAAATAGGGAAGAAAAAAAAAGTTCGGCAAAAGGCGGGATCGAACCCGGGTTGAACCCGGGTTGATCGCGTCAAAAAGCCAAGGACACACTTTATCCATCTGTTCCACTGGAGCTGATGATTTACAGCCACTTTTAACTAAATCTAAATAGACACCGCATATTTTTTAATTCCATAGTAAGGGCAATTCATACTATACATTTAAACTGAGCTACTTTAATACCATCGCCAAACTTTCTAGCAGGACTCTGCTGTTCTTCCCTGTATACGTTGATTGACAGATGTCTCATCCAGTCAGCGGTGAGTAATCCCAAACCAATGGCGCTGTCTCAAACTATACCTACCTTTTCTGGTTTGTCTGATTTGTCAGTGTTTTCTGATTTATAATGTTTTCTGAATTATTTTGTTTTTTAGACTTGCATTTGCGTTTGTAATTTATTTTGTTTTCAGAATTGTGATTTGTTTAGCACTTCTCGGCCACCGTACATACTCCCTTTTTGATTCTTTAAAAAAATGTCATCACATAATCAAGAATATTGCTCAAAACTTGTAGTGTAATCTTTTTATTCCAAGCATAGAAATGTGCACATATACATACTAGGCCATTGTCATGGGGAATATTTAGAAATTTAAATATGACAACTCAACAAGTGACGGGTATCTCTTCAGCAGGATTCTTTATTGAAAATATGCTCTTGCACACTGCAGTTAAGTCAAGTCAAATCAGTCAAGTCAAGTCACTTTTATTTGTATAGCGCTTTATACAATACAGATTGTGTCAAAGCAGCTTTACAGTGTCAAACAGGAAAATAGTTTGTCAATAATGCAAGAAGGCAGTTCTCCTCTGGCCAGACAAAACCAACATGGGGTGGTTTAATTCCAGGCTGCAACACAGGTGCAGAGGTCTTGTCTGGTTCTCGTGGTCTTGTGCCGATGGCCGTCGAGGTGACGAGGTCTTCGCAGGGGATCTGTCTCTGGGGCGCATCTAGTTGACGTGCTCTCTGGTGACATTCAGGGCTGTAGAGGTCATCTCTAGGTGCTGATCCACCATCTGATCTGGATACAGACTGGATCCGCATGGCTAAAGTAACCTATAAGAATGAAAAGAGACTAATATTAGCGTAGATGCCATTCTTCTTACGATGTAGCGAGTACATCCGGTGATATGGGAAGTGTTCCTGGTTCTGGTTGACCTAGTTAATGCAGTCTAACAACCCTTTAACAGATTTGAATTATAGAAATGCAATAGTGTGTTATCTGTCAGGTTAAAGAGATGGGCCTTTAATTTGGATTTTAAACTGACAGAGTGTGTCTGCCTCCTGAACAACGCTAGGTAGATTGTTCCAGAGTTTGGGCACTAAAGAGAAAAAGGATGGAATTTAAAATAAATTTGAGCCCGCAGTTGATTTTGATATTCTGCATATTATCAAATGGCCAGAGTTTTGAGATCGCAGCGGACATGAAGGACAATAATATAAGAGCTCGCTCAAGTACTGAGGAGCTAAACCATTCAGGGCTTTATAAGTAATTTGCTAGATTTTGTATTCAATGTTCAATGGGGAGCCAGTGCAGAGTTGACAGAAACGGGATTATATGGTTGTAATTCCTGGTTCTTGTAAAAACTCTAGCTGCTGCATTTTGGACCAGCTGGAGTTTGTTTATTAAGCACACAGAGCAACCTCCCAATAAAGCATTACAATAATCTAACCTTGAGGTCATGAAAGCATGAATTAACGTTTCTGCATTTGACATCGAGAGCATACAGTAGGCAGGGCCGGATTAACAATAGGGCTAGGTGGGGCTGAAACCCCAGGGCCCGAGCAACGAGGGGGCCCGTGATTGGCTGTGGAGTAGATTGACTGAAGCGCCAATCGCCAAAGCGCCATGTAATGTGATGCATCAGTATACATGTATTTTTTCTTAATACAAAACCCAGTAATTGAAACATAAATGTGTCATTTTTAGGGCTGTATACAAATAACTAAATAAATAAAACTGCAAAAAAAAAATTATTTGCCAAGCAAAATTAACCCATCGATCACAATAGTGACCGTAAGGAAATTTTTCATTTATAAAGCTCTAAAAATGTGTCTGGTGTTTTAGTGCATTTCCTGCAAGGTCTCGATTAAATATGTGCAGTGTCACATGGTTAGTGCAAATTGTCACATAACCAGAGCAGTTTACTTCGTATTTGCACCATGAGAGGAGGATGGCTGCATCAAAGCTCCAAAATAAAAGGTTAGTAAAATATGTTAACATAGGTTGACCATATTTTAGTTTTCCTAAGAGGACAGTGGGTGCAGGTGGGGCGGGGGGCTGGCGTGTGGTTGGTTGGTTGGTGGTTAAAGCAGTTAAAGCAGTAAAACAGTTTTACAGTCACTGTTATGCATATTGATCATAAACGCAGCTAAAAAGCTTCCTACCAGTGGCCCTCCTTCACAAAACATAACAGCACAATTTTATCATAGGCAGTAGAACGCAAAATGTTTCTATTGATAGTTTTCACGTGACGTCACACCCTTACAAGAATGCCCACATGGAGGGCAAAACAAGGCTTTCCTCAACTGACCACCAGTTATTTTTAGGAGGATTGCATTTAGTATTAATGTAGTAAGACAGTGATATTTAAAGGCCAAATTAGTTATACACCTTATTGATGATGCACAGGCTTTGTACAGGCAAGCAGATGAACCCATAATATAAATGCAATGCGCAAAGTTTAATATAAATATTTTCCCATAGAACACCATTATAAAGACGGTTAACCATTTAGCACACTGCACTCATATTCCAGGCTCATTTGCTTGCCTGCATAAAGCACGCATCATCATTAAGTCAATAAGGTGTGTACTAATTTCATCTTTTAATATCACTGTTTTAAAGGTACTTTAAGTGTTTTCACATTAAACGTTTAGAATGTACCGCTGTTTTTAGTGATTGACATATTGCGACAGGTGCTTTATGGATTGATAATGGCCAAAACTTGCATTTTGTTCACATATCTTTGTTTTATTCTTTTGAGAGATGATCTAAATACTTTTGGATTGGAAGAGATAGAAAATTGACAGTCTTTTGCTGCAGTTCTATGGATGTTTTGCCCGCCAGGTCTTCGGACCAGTCACATGACTGAAAACTACCAATACAAGCATTTCAGTCAAATGTAATTTATGCAACATTTCAAACCTTTAACCCATGGGGGGAAATCAAACCATGGCAACAGTTTAAAAGTAGCCCAATTCCATCGAAAAAACAAAACAAAAACATGGACTTGACAACCCTGCATGCAACGTGAGCTGCAGGAGTCAGATTTCACTGACCATGGGTTGAGAGGAGAGATGGCTGACAGACCATGCTGGAGGATTTGCTGCTCAACAGATCCTGAGCTCATTGACAAATATCTGATCTTCCTTTACAGAGCGTGATCGCGAAATCGAAAGTGAACAGCGAGCGCTCATTCAAAAGAGATTTAAATACTCCGCATATTGATAGCGCCTCCTTGATGCGCGAAAATTATATGCAATATTAGAATGTTTGCGGAACTGGACACAAAAATCACAGGAGCGGGAGATAATGGTCAGAAATTCAGCGGGAGCTGGATTAAGAAAAGTCCCTCGCAGGGCTCGAATACAAAAAGGCACACAATGAATGGCAACTGTAGAAAGCAAAGGCCGAATCCCAGACATTTTGGGCAATTTAGAAATCCCGGCCGGAGGCATTTTTTTAGGTCCGAAAAGAGGAGGTATGGTCACCCTAGTTAAAGACATGACAAAGATTTTTGGAACACATTATCTTTAAGGTGTCTAGTATTAATATATGAATTCACAATTATTTAGTTCTGTTGAGTGTGGTCATAGAATAAACATGTTGATGACAACAATAATGACCAATGGGATAATACAGTGTATTTAGTCCACAACATGCATCCAAATGCAGTTGTTAGTAAAGGTTGCACTAAAATGTCGCAATGAAAGTTACAGTGAGTATCGCACTAAATTAAAAGTTCAAATGTTACAAATAAGTTACAATATTTATGTTTTAATACTGGTTGCACTAATATAAAAATTTTATAATAGAGTAAAATTTTGAAATATGTAGATTCCCCCCCCGTATTCCTATCAGTGTTGAAACAGTTTAAAATGTGTTAATAACTGGACTGAGATTTATAAGAATTTTGCTGACTGCAACATTTGTTTAAAATCCAGTATAACATTATCCCACCGGTCACAATTGTGACTGACCATAAAACACAATTTTTCACACACTTTTCCATAATTTTTTTTAAAAATAATTGATTATTTCAAGGGGTTACTAATGATACATTATTTGGATATTTTCATGTCTAGGAAATATTTGGGTTTAAATGGGTTAAGTGAATTAATGTTATTGTCTTCCATCACACCAAAATATGATGCATTACTTCTGTATGTATCAGACTGAATATGTATTGGTCATCATCAGTGATTTCAGCTGTTACAACATCTAAAATATGATAAATTATGAATTAAAGCGCACCTAAATAATGGTGCTGAGAAACTTTAATAACCTCTCAAATGAAAATGCACAGTTAAGAGTTAAAAATAAAGTTTTCTGTAGTCCCATTGCATCGGAACAGTTTAAAAACCAGGTTCTGTGTTTTGTGCTAATCGTCATTCTACCTGTTTACATTCTGTTTTACTTTACAGTGAGCTGCAATGGTGTATGCTTACTGGTTTTCCTAAATTATACACAAACTGTTAAAAAAAGTACATGTAAACGGTGGTAGTTAGTAGTTACTGTTTGCATCATGATGACATGTATAAATAAAAATGTTTATACTAAGTGCAAGTAGAGATAGATGCTATTCTAACAAAAATTAAATAGAAGTAACATGTTATATATAAAATATTTGAGCAATGGTGAGCAATTGGAGCATTGACTTGACATTAGCGAAAACAGGCTTTACCAAGAAGGTTGGCTATTTGCACTCATATCTGGTCCAAAGGCTGGTAAAAACGTGCTTGGCATTGCACAATAGCAGCTTTTATTAACACTACATGTAAAAAGGCATTACTGCATTTAATAATTTTCCCCTCAAAATGTGCCATTTAAAAATATATAAGGAACATTAAAAACATGTAACATTATAAAAGCTCCATTTGGAATATTTCAGTTCAAAATTTCATGCATTTTAGATTACAATGCTGTATATGGTCTGAACATATGACCAGCATCAGGCCCAGGAGAGACATTTTTCCTAGTATTTCCTGACAACAGCCCATAGTTTTTGAAGCAGGGATCCATTAAAACCTAGAAAATAGTTTAATTATTTCCCTATATAAGAACCATTTAAGAGAATCACCTGAAAGCTATAACTAAACCACACTATCCAGAATCCAAGGGAATTAATTCATACAATTTACCATGTTTTGCTGAAATATGCCAAAATATAAAATTGCATGACTGAAATTATGAGCACAATACAGGAAGTTTGTCATGAAAGTATATCCAGAACTTTTGAAAGCACTGTATAGTTGGTTCCATGTTAGAGACTTTGAAGGAACAGTTCACCCAAAAATTTATTTCTGTCATTATTTACTTCTTGTTTCAAACCAGTATTATCACAGAAGTAGTCCATAGTAGTTGTGTGCTGTATAGCCTTCTGTAGCCATACGAGACGACAAATGTGATTTGTGCTTCCACATATGATATGTGAGAACCAATGCTCTTTGGCTTCACGGATGTCAAATCTGGTGTGACGTCTTCACACTCTGAACGAGAATCAAGAAATGCAGTGCAGGTGGAGATTATCAGTGAATAATAACTTAAATTTGGATGTATTTCTTTGGAAAATTCAGCACAAAAGTTGACTACTTTTATGATGCTTTTCAGTCATTTTGGGGCTTCACAGCAGGTGGTCACTGTACAGAAGAGAACAGTGAACATTCTGCTGTTCCACGGAAAGTCGTACATGTATGGATGACTAAATGATACCTCTCTTCATTTTTGGTAGATCTAGTCCTTTAACAGCTTTCAGCAGCAAAGACAAAAAGCGAAAACCACAAGCATTAGCTTTTCCTCAGGACTAAGTCACACAGCACAGTGTCATTTAAAAAGGCACAATGGCCACTTCAACCAATTATCAATTATCAAAATATGTACAAAAATATAAATTCAATAGCATGATCTCTCTCACCAAGCACGACTCAACATTGCACAGTAGAATTTCTTGTGTTCACTTCAAGTGTCCAACAAAAATCCCTCGCCTTACAATCACATTATACTTGACAAATGGAAGGAATGACTGCAGAGTTTTGTGAGCACACCTCTGACAACCCAAGCCATCTTCTTCAGCATCCTCCAAATCATCTTCTCCAGGAATCTGTAAGTTGCTCAAACAAGAGCTGTTGTCTAAAATGAGCATGTAAGGCACTAAAAATGAGATGGCAGCCTCTGCGGTGACACAGCCTGGACACTGCAGGCCCAGACTGCATCCACACAGAGAGATGTGGCTCATCCCTGGAATGTCTCCGAAAAGGGTCCATCCGTCAAGGGTCCATCCACTGGGCACAAAGGAGCTCCAGTCTCCTGTGTGGACAGTGTGGGTGGCACTGGGACTGTCTGTATGTGCTCTGTGGTGAGCTCGGGTAAAACTGCCATTTCAGACAGAGTGTCTGACAGTTCATGTGGAGCTGCTGATGTCTGACAGGACGACGACAGGCCTGAGGGCACTGATGGACTGCTATGCTGTGTGGGGGGAGTCTGTGGCACACACTGTGCTACTGTGTGGTGTGTGAGCAGTTCAGAAGCGTGGTAGTAAGGCAGGAAAGGTCGCTCCACGGCACAGAAACGCATGGCCAAATGTGTGTGCTGCAGAAGAAGAGGGAAACGGGAGGTAAAGTAGGAGACAAATTCATCTGGAATGGATCCTAGTGTTTCCTGGACTTCATCAGGTAACTCTCGGTAATGGTGTTTCTACAGGAAACAAAGATGAGATAAATATGAGACAATTTGTGATTAAGAGAAACAGGAGTTTTTAATCATGTGATGTTATATTTTCAACATGGACTAAAACTGTTATATTAGTACATTGACAAATAGGTGTAACTAACCAAACAACTACATTTAATTTAATAAAAAAGGAACTTTGTGTTCCTTCTACTCTGTTATGCTACTTTTCCATTAATATCATGCATATTATTATCTGCTGTAACTACTAGATATTTGTGGTGAGTATCAATAAACTGATTTTCTTTAGCAAATGTACCTTGTTTCTCATGGCACGTAAAAGATCTCTGACCGATCCGCCTTTGTATGAACGAAATTTGCGAAGATCTGAAGAAGAACGATTTGCGTTTGAATGGTTTGTGGAGCAAAATTTCACATTAAAGATTCAAATAAGAAACAAAACTAGATAATCATGATAGAGCTGCATGTGGTTTAACTATTTACAAAATCTTCGAATTAAAAACTGATCGAAAATCCAGCCAACAGTAAGCCAAATCGCAGCAGTCCTCACCGGTCTGTAGAGGCACTGTAATATGATCCCTCCAATCACCTCTGACCACCACCCGTCCTCCTCTCTCCAGCTGTCTCACGATTGGTCCACCTAACGGTTCCTTCTCAATTCTATCGCTCACATCCTGGGAGCAAGTAAAAAAAAAATGAATTTTTTTTTCGTTTTTTTGTGAAACTCATCTAAAGCTACTTTAAAGCGGTCATTAACATTGTTTTTATCTTATAATGTTCTCTGAGATTCACGTATAACGCTGGTAAGAGTTTTACATCAACATTTGTTATAATTTAGACATTAATGGCCATATTCAACCCTGTTTTTGACCCTCTGGTTTGAAAACACTGTTTTAAGGAGCATGTGTCCTTTAAAGGAGCAATTTTTATCTGTATGAAATTTAACTTGATTTGATGCATAAACAAAAATAAACAATTTTGAAACAGGATTTTAACTCGTATAGTAAGTTCTAACACTGATGTCAGAAATGATGTTCCACAACTATGAACTCTACAATATTTGGAAAACTTAACAGGCATCTAAATCTATTTTTATTCCCAGCTATCCTGTTTCTGTATCTCTCCCTTCACACACACCAGTGAGCGAAGCCAATAAGAGATGAAGAAGGGTTGATCTTTTGCGGTGTAGGCAATCTAGTGCTGTTGTATTAATCATACGTAATAAAAATAACAATGAATGGAAAATGAGCCATTTTGGCAACTTCAATAAAACTGTTTTTGGATTGAGGAAGTTTTGAGTTCTGAAACTTCAAATATGTTTAAAATGACCTCCAATATGTCAAAAGATCAATGAAAATTTGATTTCCCAATTCATGATCCCTTTAACTACTGTCATGTAAACAATACTGTACTGACCGGTTTGTTCAGATAGAATTCTGAACAACTTACATAAAAAATAGAAATGATCTTAGATGATTTGGTGTTTTATTGTTACTTTGTTGTTGTGGCCTTTTGCTGCCTTCTTGGGCAAGGCGCTGCGTTTAACCTGGTTAAATGAAGGATGCCTGACTAACCTGGAAGAACTGCAGTTGTTTTTCCAGACTCCAGAAGAAGGGATGTTTTAGCACTCTGTCGGCTGAGGGTCTCTTCTCTGGCTCCATACTCAACATCTGCTCGATCAGGTTTCGGGGCACAATATCCTCTGCATACAACAGCACAAATGATCACATGATCAAAAATCTGACAAACTGACCCAAAATGAGCTCTGGTGTTTTTCAAGTTCAAGTTCAAGTTTTTGAATGCAAGAGGACATTTGGTCGTCCTACCGTGTCTGTTAAGGTCTAAGTGGTCCAGCGAGTAGGCACCCAGCAGAATGTTTGCTTGCCGCTGCAAGGATTTTCCAAAGGGGTGGTGGCCTTCAGATACCACATAGTAAAACACACAGCCTGCAGAGAAGATGTCTACCATGCAGGTCTGAAACATCAGAGGTGAAAAGAGGTGAAACTGCGATTGTCTAGCCATTGACAAAACTTAGTGCTTCTGACATAGCTTTCTGGAATACTTTATTCTAATGGTCAACGCAGCATTCTGCAGTCATGTATTATTTTTGTAAAATAACAGCTAAACTGCGTAACTGTTTTATGTCTCACTTGTGCACTTCCTTTTTTTCTCACATAAATAAATTTCAAATCAATATCTGTCTATTTATTTGGTAATTAGCGGTCTAATTTTCAGTCAGTAATTATCAAAGTCATTACTGCAGGAAAAAAAATCCTTTCAGGACAAAACAAGGCTTCATGTCCTGATCACCCTGTCCTGTCCTTGTTATATACTACACCGTGTCAGTTTTAAGTTACATAAAACTCATCATCACTTGTTCTCTTCAAGTGTTGTTGTGCAGTAGTAGAGTGTGGCTGACCATTTGCAATGGGTTCTGCTAATGATGCAGTATTATTGTGGGACATTTTTATATGTTGTAACAGATCATCGGGGTACACAACATATTACTACAGTAAAAGTTATGACATTTCTTGCAAACTGCAATTTTTACATCAACCCTATACCAAAGCATTGACATGAGTAACACTTCACTTAATTTTCTATGAAAAATCCATTCATTAAACATATACATGTCGTTCTCACCCTCAAGTCGTTTCAAACCCGTAAGACCTTCGTTCATCTTCGGAACACAAATTAAGATATTTTTGATGAAATCCAAGAGCTTTCTGACACTGTATAGACAGCAACCATGCTCCCAGGCCCAGAAAGTTAGTGACTTCACAGACATCAGTGGTTCAACCTTAATTTTATGAAGTTACGAGAATACTTTTTGTGCACATAGAGAACAAAAATAATGACTTTATTTAACAATTTATTCTCTTCCGTGTCAGTCTTTGACGTGTGTTGCGTGTGTTGCTGCTGACGCAGGAGCCTGCGTTCTGACGTAGAACACTTATGCGCTGCACCTTGTTTACAAGCAGAGGAATGCATGGTATTGCCGTGAACGCGTGTCGAAGACAGACACAGAAGAAAATAATTTGTTGAATATAGTCATTATTTTTGTTTTCTTTGAGCACAAAAAGTATTCTTGCAGCTTCATAAAATTAAGGTTGATCCACTGATGTCACATGGACTATTTTAACAATGTCCTTACTAGCTTTTTGGTAGTTCTGTTGCTGTCTATGCAGGGTCAGAAAGCTCTCGAATTTCATCAAAAATATCTTAATTTGTTTCCAAAGATGAACGAAGGTCTTACGGGTTTGTAACGACATGAGGGTGAGTAATTAATGACAAAATTTTCATTTTAGGTGAACTATCCCTTTAATGAATAATGAACCAATAATGATAATGAATAAAGTATCAGGAACTAACAATGAAGAATATTTCTCAACACATGCTAACCTAAGTTAATTTCTGCATATACTAATATAAGTATAAATAAAGATTGCATTATGAACAAACACGAACAAACAATAAACAATATAAAGTATATTTATAAGTCCACATTAACAGATTAGTATAAATTAAAAACAGTTGATTATTTCTAATAACTAATTAAACTATCAACATTTATAATCCATATATATTTAAAGGGGACACAGGACGAAATTTTCAAAAAAAAAATTTAAACCTTTTTTTTTTTTTGCATTTACATAGGCTTCTGGCGTGTCTGCCAGCTCAGAAAAGCTGAGCTGTCTGAATCTGAAACTGTCATCCAGTGAGCTATTTCAATTTGCAGTCGGTTTCTACATAGATAGCTCACTATTTGAATAAGACCACCTCCGAGCCATATACTGAGTCCAAGGCACCTGTCTTGTGTCAACATTGAGCAGTAGCTCATTGTCATTTAGAGACATGCACTGAAATGGGTCGCTGTGAACAGAGGGTGTTAAAAAGGGTGTTGTTTTGCATTACCACTGAGGAATTTTAACCTAAGTATGTAACAGACATTTCATGAAGACCCTAAAGTGTCGTACCAACTTGTGGAAAATGGGCATCCGATGTCACCTTTAATAATCGATATTATATTTATAATATTAAAATAATATTTAAACATATTGAAAAAAAAAGAAAAACCCAGAACATTTTTCATTCTCTTTGGTGTGTTAAAACCAAAGCAAATGGCCACACAGCATGTGTTTGAGCTCTTACAGGGTTATGCTTTGCATCCTCACTGAGCACTTCTGGAGCAATCCAGCCCTCGGTGCCCGGGACCCCAGACTTCCTGCTGAAGCTGTGTCTGCCCACTGCCAGTTTCTTGCACAGGCCGAAGTCTGAGATCATGGCCTTCACACGCCCATGTGTGTTCGGCATCGACACCAGGATGTTGTGTGGCTTCAGATCTCTGTGGACTATAAACCCATGAGAGATTGAGTGTTACGAACACTTGTGTCAAACAGACTTTTTGTGAAAAAAAAACAAAACAGTACTTCATGAAGATTGATTATTTAAAAATGTATTGCTGATGTAGCTGATTGGTTACCTATATTAAGAGAATGTAAATCTGCCAGTCCAGACATGGTTTGCTCTAGCAGTGTCACTGGCTCCAAACCGTGGCGGTTAAAATCCTTTCGTTCCACATACTAAAAGTAAAGGCAATAAAATATAAATAAGTAAGTAAATATACAACATAGCATTGCATGACCTAAAAAGAACAAATTGAAAATCAGTTTTAGGAAAGAATTAGGTTGCTTTGGGAAATTTAAAACAAAGAAAGGTTCAAATTAAATCCTACTAAATCCACTACTTCAAATCACTACAAATCCATGTAAAATTATGACAATGATATGTGAACTCCTGTGAAACAGATGCTTTCTGCTGAATTACAAGATGCTCGCTGGAACATCCTCAAATCATGCTGGATAACATGATTATTAGGTTTTCTCCATGTCAGTTCAAGTAAATGATTAGGGTTACATTAATAAATCCTTTATGTGTTAAATGGTCAATGATAGAAGTTTTTGTTCTTGTGGTTTGATGCATTTTAAATCAAATAAAAATGCATATTCAAATACATTTTTACTGTTATATTCAATTTGGGTTTTTAACCAGAAAAAAAATTAAATGTCATTTTGTGGTGTTTGTCATACCTCTTGTAGTGTGGAGCTACACAACTCTATGGCAATGTACTGAAACTGACGGTCTCTCTCTGTGCAGAAATAACGAATCACATTTGGATGCTCGTCTGACTCACGCAGCAGCTGAACCTCACGGTCGGCAAAGCTGAAGCATTCTGGGAGAATCCTCTTCACAGCCACTGGACGGTTATCAAACTGACCCCTGAAATTACACAGAGAGAAGACTATAGACTGAATCAGAAAAAATTAAAGCAAATTACCAAAAATAATGCCTGAGATGACAAAGGTCATTCTCTGGAAGATCAGGTCCTTCCTAACAGATCATGCTGCACAACTTCTTGTCCAGGCCCTTGTCATTTTTAGGCTGGACTATTGCAATGCTCTTCTGGCTGAACCTCGTATCATTTGTAATCAAACAAATGATTCAGAACGCAGCAGCACAACTGGTCTTCAACAAGTCCAAAAGAGCTCACGTGACACCTCTCTTTATCCCTCTCCACTGGCTACCGCTTGCAGATCACATAAAGTTCAAGACATTGATGCTTGCATATAGAACAGCCACAGGCTCAGCACCATCCATTCTTACAAATCTACAACCTCATGGTGCCATCACAGACAGGCACAAAATCACTTTCCACAACATTTTCGTTCACCGTTCCTTGCTGGTGGAATGATCTTTCCAACCCCATCCAGAACACAGAATCCCTGACAACATGCAAGAGATTGCTGAAAACTCATCTCTTGTGAGAGCATCCTATTGAAAAAAAAAACTATGCTTTCACTTTTCCTTAATCCCTCTCTATTCTATCTTGTGCTTTTCGGAATGATCCCGGAAACGTTGAATTATGGGTACTTTTCTTGTTTAATGACCTCTTTATAATGAATCGCTTGTTGTATTCCTCATTGGTAAGTCGCTTTGGATAAAAGCTTTTGCTTAATGAAAAAATGTAAATGTAACTTGCCTGTACACAATAGTTCCCTCAGCACCATGTCCAAGTACATCTCTGGGGTTGAATGTGATGTTTCCAATTCTGACAATATTGGATTCATCCTCTGAAATTAAAGATGAGAAAACAGAAGTCAACCAATATAGGCAAATTTGAAAAACAAGATTAAATGGCAATGCACTACTGTAATTATAGTTTTGCTGACCAGCATCCTCGTGCTCATTAGCCGAATGACCCATTTCAGACTGGGACATGTTGGAATGGTTGGATGCTCGTGGGGTGATGTTGGGACTGCTGTGGGTGGAGCTCTCAGAGCGGGTATGGGCTGCCTCTAGGAAGTCAGTGTCAGGAGGCAGATCAGTGGGTGGCTGGAAAATGAGCTGCTGTCGCTGCAGGAGCTCCAACTTTTCCTCCATCTGCTGCTGAAATAGCTGGTGTTGCAATTGCTGCTGCTTGTGGACACTCTGATCAGAACACAACACATGATCATAACCATAAACATGATAATTTTGCATAAAATTACTCATATGGGACATACCTTTCATCCAAACATTTACAAGTTTAGCATTATTTTTTTTTAAATTTTAGTTTTTGCCCATTTACAGAATTGTAAAGAAAGGACATATTAGGCAAAGCCGCAGAATGTAATTGGGGCATTTTGCAGTCCAGACTTGAGTGTCCTATCCTTCATTCACATTTGTTCTTTCTCACCCACTTCTTTCCCTTTACCCATTTTTCCCTTCACTCGGTTTACTCAATATGCTTATATGTTCCGTGTATAATGTTGCGTATGAATGCAAGTTATTTTCATGTTTGGAATCATTTGAAATGTTTCAGTGTGACTGGTACAATAGTCTTATCCCCACAGAATTAGACTAAAAAGTAATAAAGATTTGACAGTTTATTAATATTTCGCCTACTTTACAGGGTGCACTCTTTCATGCAAATTACATTTTCCCCCAATAATGGAAATTCCAATGATTAGTTCATGCTTCCATTTGGATAATGTTTGTTTTGGTACTTAAAGAAAACTAGCAAAAGGTTCATGGTGATTCTGTAGCCAGATGAGCCAACAGTGTGGAGTGTATTTTATACACTCAGGATTATGTATCTCTTACTCTTAAATAATTTTTTTAGCATTTGATGTTTTGTACTGATTAAAGATTCATTATCTTTAAACTGATTATGTAACTTGCATGACACTTGCATTACCTAACTAATAATAAAATGTTGGATTTGTTTTTATTCTGACATTTTCTAAGATAAACGGCTCTAGTAAATTACATTAAGTGCATGAACATGATCTAAAAACTAGAAACTACATTTGCATGGAGCGTGGGGCATGTCAGCCGGGATTCTAGAATTCTGACTAACAGCTTGACTTTCATTATGTTGTTATAAATTTGTCTTAACTGTAGATTAAACAGTAAGTGCTAGATAAAAAACTCGAAACTTTAAAGTGGTCACCACTTGGGTGCACTTTTACATCAAAAATGTCATAATTTACAAATAAAAAGCCATTTTCACCTCTGATAAAGGGAGTGATGCTACTCTGATGTTAAAGGGTGTGTTCTTCTCTCGCTTTCAGTATAAAATTTAATCACTAGGGATGCACCGAAATGAAAATTCTTGGCCGAAGCCAAAACCATACAAAATAAAACACTGGGCCAAATGCCGAATACCAAACACGGTTTTTCAAGTTTTTTCCCCATGTATTTTGACCATTTTTTTTACCATTGCATAAATTAAATAGCCAAAATATGCTTTTTACCGTTTTGTCTTGTTTTTCAAAGAAACAATCAATTACAAAACAACAATTTAAAAATATTTAACACTAAACATTTTTTTACATTCTAGCAGACATTATACCAACAAAGCACAATTTAACTTAAAATGAATAAGTTACTAAAATAATATTCTTTGGCCAACAGACCCCCTTCTTGAATCAGGCATGTATTTTTTTACTGTAAAATTAAAAGCAGCCTTGCTGAGCAGAAGAGACTTCTTTTAAAACATTAGAAAATATTACAGATCCCAATTTGAACACTATGTGTGTATGTTATAATAAATGTATAAACAGAGCTGTTGTAATTATTATCATTATTATTGTCTTACTTTTATTTTATTTTACAGAACAACAGTAAAATTACAATGCTAACATTTATGAATGTTAGAGTTCTTGCTTTTTGTCAACATTTATTTTGGCGGAAACGTGCAGGAAGACATCTCACTCTGCTTCTTTTTGTTGACAGTAGATTTATAAAGAAAACTTCACGTTCTGCAGTTTATTTACTAATTGTTAAAGGCCATTTCGCGATTTCAATCATCATACAGTAACCAGCAACAATCACCCCTTCCTCTTCTCATTGAAGACATGCGATGCAGTACTAAACAGACTCTCACTGTCTGTGCTTGTAATGATATTTGCGCCTTTCTCGGACAGTTTAAATGCTTCCACACTGCTGACATGTTTGTTGCATTGCGCCTCTCACTCTATGCCAGTTACAATTTGATCGTGTCAAGTCATTGTTTGGTACAGTTTATTCGGTCTTTTCACTTATTCGCTTGCTATTTTCGGCCGAATAATTTCGGTTGCCGAACATTCGGTGCATCCCTATTAATCACAATTGAAATAACACAATTTTCATGCTACTGAGAAGAACAATGTGAAGTTGACCATTTAGTCACTGGCTTGATTTACCGACGCATAAACAGCAATACATTTTTTTGTGAAAAAAATGTCTGACTGTCTTTACGAATGTATTGCTGGATCTTTTTTTTTTTTGGCACTTTTGTGTGTTCCATTATTACTGTAGTGATACTTCCTACTGGAATATTTTGTAATCAAGATGCCTATGATTTGTTGCAGCTCTCAAATAAAGAAATTGATTCTGCACAACACACAATATTACTTCACCATGACATTGCATTGATGGACTGTTGGCAAGTTAATTTAGCATTTAGTTAGTCTAAGCATTCAGCTTGGAAAATCATTCAGTCTTGGAGTGATGGCAAGAGTAAAACCAAGAGTTTACCTTGGGGTAGTTGATGATGAAGGCCACCCAGCCAGCCAGAAGGAAAGTGCAGAAGATGATGGTGGCCATGTCCTTCAGCATGGAGTCCACTGGAGTCTCCACACGTGGGATGCGGCTGGGTTTCTCCTGCAGGGATGACACGGGTGGAGGCAGAGGACTGCTGTCTTCCATTCCACTCTCATTTACTTTCTGGAACAAAGCAGAGCACACTCTGAAATGGCAATACAACCAAATACAAATAAACAATTTTATGGCAGATAATCAAACATTCTATAAAATGTAGCTTATAATAAAGTTGACACAAACCTGTACAACACAACCGGTGTATAAATTATTCTTTTGCTGCACTTCTGCTAAAAATTTCAAAAGGTTTTACAATATTGACATTCCTTCAGGAGTTAAACAGGATAGATTTGACAACTGATGAGTCATGAATTTTTACACTCAATGCCAAGAAGGGTCAGAGTAGTATACTTAAAGTTATGGAAGACATAATTAGTACTAGAATATTACATGTTTGTTGAATTTAATCAATCAATGGTGTACTATTTTCTGCAACCCTTCATTTTTAAAAAAAAATCGGCAATCTCAAAACTGGCTCTAACCTCAATTAGAGTGGGAATAATGGCTACATTAACAACAAAGCCATGGCGCTAATTTTTTGATTGATGACGCTATATGCAACATTACCACAGCACAGCTCTGACCAATAAGAGGACAGTTTTACTCACATATGACTTGTGTAAATACATTTTGGCATTGAAATGTTGTCAAAGCAAACCGAACAAAGAAGAAAATGCAACGTTGTAACAATTTAAGTCCCTTTTTCACAATCTACAGGTCTGAATATATGGCAAGTAGCTTAGAATACTTTACTAAATGGGCAAGGGACAAGATCTGAGTGACTCTGACAAGTGCCGAATAGTCGACTGGGTCACAGCATCTCCAAAACAAGAAGTCTTGTGGGGTGTTCCCAATATACAGTGGTTAGTACCTACCAAAAGTGGTGCAAAGAAGGATAACCGGTGTTAACCGGTGCCAGGGTCATAGACACGCATAGCTCATTGATGCATGTGGGGAGCAAAGGCTAGCCCGACTGGTCTGATCACACACAAATTGCTGACAAACTTAATGCTAGCCATTATAGAAAGGTGTCAAAAGACACAGTGCATCACAGTTTGCTGTGTATGGGGCTGCGTAGCCACAAACTGGTCAGAGTGCCCATGATGACCCCTACAAAAGAGCCTACAATGGGAACATGAGCATTAGAACCGGAAGAAGGTTGCCTGGTCTGATGAATCACGTTTTCTTTTAGATCACATGGATGACACGTGTGCAGAGGCAGACAAAGTACACAGGACCATTACTTAAGTGAAAGTACAGATACTGCCGGTCAAATATTACACTCCTTATTACACTGATAAATAAAATCAAACCTGCTTTAAAACCCAGCAACACAACTGTAGCTGTATAACAGCAACACTGCTTTAACAAAAATGCAAAACAGCAAGACTTATTTGACAACAAAACAAATTTAAAAAATGCTGTCTAATCGCTCTCGCGGTACTTTGATGTCATACACAGAATGGTCTGTGCAGTGCTGCTTCAGTCAAATACCTTTGGTGTTTTATTAGGAGACGCACAACAGTTCTTCTGTGGCTTTATAGGTAATATTTTCACTTACACAATTTAGCTAAATCAGACAATATTGTGTTTAATATAAACCACAATATTACCTTCTTATTATTGAATTGTTGTAAATAAATATCACATCTGGAACTGGTCAGTGCTCAAAAAATGCTGGGAAATCACTTCATGTAGCCCCAAGAGTGATTACTGATAAACTGTCTGAAAAAAGAAAGTCACGTTTTAGAGAAGGAAAAAAAATCACCAACTGATTTTCAAAGCGGCTAATGACTTTCTACTTCGAGGACCTTGATAGAAATGTAGTGGAGTGAAAAGTACAATATTTGTCTTTCAAAAGTAGTGAAGTTAAAGTCATAAGTTTCCAGAAAGAAATAATACTCAAGTAAAGTAGATACTCAAAAAGTGTACTTAAGTACAATCCTCAAGTAAATGTACTTAGTTACTGTCCGCCTCTGCATGTATGTGCTGTTTACCTGGGGATGAGATGGCAGCAGGATGCACTATGAGAACAAGGCAGGCCGGCGGAGGCAGTGTTACGCCTGGTTCACACCGCAAACTTGAACTTCGCATCAGAGTAACTAGATCGTCACTGCAGCAGCAGACACGCCAGAGTATTCACACGGGAAGCATTTGTACAGCAGCGGCTCCAAAGCTACACATTACTTTACGAAGACAGCTATAAATTTGTTTTTAGAAGTTGGTCAGTTATATACTTGAAATTTTTAAAGTCTTAAAAGTTTGATAACATGGGGATTCGCATGTAAAAGATAAACAACAAAAACAACTCCGATCATGCCGTTTCAGTCATACTTCTATATAGAACGTGCTGTTTATAAGGTTTTTTTATTGTAACGTCCAGCGCCGTAAGGTCCTGTTGTTGTGCCAAGCTATGCTTTGTTCATCTCCCCCCCCCCCTTTTTTGTTTAACAAAAAGTTTAAATGGGCAAATCTTCTATACATATTTTTCATTCTTCAATTTCTTTTCTGACATACACCAATTCTTGTTAAAACTCACTTGACATGCTTATTCTCTGATTTTTAGCACTTTTGTGTGAAATCCAGAAATGCTCCTGCTCCCGGTGTGAAAGCACTCATTTGTTAACATGTATGCTAAAAAAATATGTGCTGCTCATGCGGTGCTCCAGCTTGCGGTGTGAAACCGGCCTTACGCTCTGGCCAATGTTCTACCGGGAAACCTTGGGCCCTGGTATTCATGTGGATGTTGATTTGACAAATACCACCTACCTAAAGATTGTTGGTACACCCTTTCTTGGCAATGGTGTTCCCTGATAGCAGTGTTTTTCCAATTCATGCTATCACATGTTCTTTTTAATAAAACCATAATAATAATACTCTAATAAGGTGATCTAAAAGGCTCCTTCCTCTTCTGAAACCACATTGATTTGGTGATCAGACTTCAGACATTGCGTACAAGACATACAAATTGTTAAAGCTATTATATAACAGTACGTTAACACACTCAGTTGCACTGCAGTCAGGTGTGCTGTGTGGATAATGTTTTTACCTCTTCAATAGTCTTCTCTGTTACAGGGGGAATGACATTGATATGCTGGCGAGGGATGCTCTCTGGAAATTTCTCCAGAATTTTATTATGAGCATCAGGCGGTGTCTCGTGGTGACCTGCAAAAGAGAAACATTACCGTTGAGCAAAATGTTCATACTTTATTAAATGTGGGGCAACGCAGTACAGCACATAAGTGGGTTAACACTTATGACAATTATACAATAATTAAGAATTATATTTTTATATTATAAAAAATTATATTTTTCTACAACACATTTCTTTAAAACATTAAGACACCTTGTGACAGTGTTTTTTTATTTATTTTACAACTGCTATAAAATGACTCCACTAGTGGGCAGAAGTGGCTCAATTTTGCATGATTCCCACAGTTCAGTTCTGAGTGTGCAGTATGGGGCACCTATCAGCAGCAGTGAATTCCTCATGAAGTTGAAGCGGTTTCTCTCTTTCAGTGCTGCACTGAACTTCACTGTGGTACTGGGAGTGATCACACACTCCTGCTCATCTTCCATGCTTGACTCCTGGTTACTGGGGCCCTCCAGCATGGGAAACGTCCTGCCACGAGGCTGAAATACACACATGCGCACACTTGGTCATGAGCATGCAAGCATTAGAACAGCATTCCATCCTTTCTCAAACTAGTACTGGGCCTTTTCAGGCCTAAAAATCTCAAAATCTGCATTAAAAAAAAAAACATTCTACTGCAGCACTGTAAACATCTATGATTAACTCACTGTCTGCCACTGGCCGCTTGGTCATTACTTAAAATTTAAAAAACAAAAAGGAATTTACCAAACAAAAACATTTTCCAAACATAATGTCTAAATTAACGCAATAAAGAAACAAAAAAATATATATAACCACTTTTGCAATTAAAAACGAAACTGAACTATTTTAATGGCTACAACAGCAGCTGTGTAATTGGGGAAGAGAGAAAGAGAAAAAAGACACGGGGTCCAGTCGGACTCGGCCAGTAATTCTGATAATCTGTCGGATAAAGGCCGGACTAGGGCATATGTTTGAGGCCCGTGCAGGGTTCTGCTGAGCTTATTTGGTAGCAAACTCAATACTCATATACGCACGAGCGCACTTTGGATGTGACTGCGCACCGCCTCTGGAGCACGCGAGTACCGAATTGCTTAAAAAGACGTGCAAATAAATAATAAAATTTTCTGACGATGCAACAATGACCCGATTAGGCAAGTGACTATTCTGTCAACTGTCCCGAAACACGAGTTAAAGTCTTGTATCGCAGCGTGCAGCGGCTCTTGTAGCGCAGACAAGATGTGCCGATGTGAAGCCGTTTGAAGAGAAAGTCAAAGAGAGAAGACGCGTACAGCTGAATCACTCACGCTGTTTTCAAATGACTGATTTGATCAGTCTGTGTGGACTGGACTCAGTCTGTAGGTTTGATTATTTACTCATCAAACCTACATGCTTTAAGCTATTGAATAAATGTGTGAATATCCATCATTTTAAAGTCAAAAGCTGCGGGAATGAGTAAAACTATGCGATATAGCCTATGCGCAATCCCGCACCGAAATTCAGGACCTGTTTAAACACAATTCTATTATACAGAGTTTTGTGAAATAGATTTCAATGACTTTTCCAAAACTTTCTGGGTTTATTTATTTTTCCAAAACTTTTCCAGGCCTGGAAATTGGTGTTTTAAAATTCCATGACTTTTCCAGGTTTTTCATGACCGTACGAACCCTGTATCAGGTCCCGATGACGCTTGGCATTTTTTACTCCGTTGAGTTTATACTTCTATACAGTTCTGAGTTTTGGTTTATGGAATGTGCAGGCCACCTTCTAGCGCCTGATGAATCAGGTAGTGGCGGGGCTGGAAGGATTTAGTTTATTTCATTTATTTGTACAGCGCACAACAACAGTGTTGTGCCAGTTAGTTATAAAGCTAATTTGCATCTGCAGTCCCTGGGCAGGATGTTGTTACAAAATTACAATATTAAGTCACAAACAATACAATACATACAACACATACAATATCACATCATACTCCATTAAATTACAACGTCAAGTCAATGATCACATATTTGATTTTCCTTAAGCCATTCTTTAAGCGTAGTTTTAAAAATACTAAATGTTGTGCACTCTCTAATATAAACAGGTATTAAATTCCATCTTTCTGCTGCTCTAACTGAAAAAGCTGATTGTCCAAAAACTGTTTTCTTAAATTTAGTTGAACAGTCACCTTTAACTTATGACCTAGTCTGCCTGATATTGTCCTTACAGAAAGTCACACATTGTTTAAGAGGTGGTGGTGCAAGATCATGAAATAGTTAACACATGCGCTCAATGATGTGATTAATTATAGTGAGATTTGGAAAGGATATTTATGTCATATACGTGCTCTTCTCACATGTTTGGTAGAGGTGAATCTGGCTAACTGCGAGTTTGCCAGAGCCACTGTAACTTATTTACGCATACTTACAATTTCCACTAGACAATCATGTCATCATCCAGCTTAATTCAGCTCATATTTTCTTCTCATCAAGTGACTTGACCTTGCCTGAGGTACTGACCACGGTGTTTGTATCCCAAACCCTGAGGTTATAAGTGTGACTTCAGAACATACCACAGTTAATCTAACCACATAGTTCCATAAAAGTATAAGGAAACATATGTGACCCTGGACCACAAAACCAGTCTTAAGTCGCTGGGGTATATTTGTAGCAATAGCCAAAAATACATTGTACGAGTCAAAATTATAGATTTTTCTTTTATGTCAAAAATCATTAGGATATTGAGTAAAGATCATGTTCCATGAAGATATTGTGGAAATTTCCTACTGTAAATATATTAAAACTTCATTTTTGATTAGTAATATGCATTTCTAAGAACTTCATTTGGACAACTTTAAAGGGGTCATATGATGCGATTTCAAGTTTTCCTTTCTCTTTGGAGTGTTACAAGCTGATTGTGCATAGATAAGATCCCTGAAGTTGCAAAGACTAAAGTCTCAAAACCAAAGAGATATTCTTTATCAAAGTTAAGACTCTGCCACGCCCCCCCTAAAACGGCTCGTTCTAACACGCCCCCTCATACAGTGGGAGAAAAAAGTATTTAGTCAGCCACCAATTGTGAAAGTTCTCCCACTTAAAAAGATGAGAGAGGCCTGTAATTTTCATCATAGGTATACCTCAACTAAGAGAGACAAAATGAGAAAAAAAATCCAGAAAATCACATTGTAGGATTTTTAAAGATTTTATTTGCAAATTCATGCGACTCTGTTCCCCTTTCGGGCTCTGTCTTTACATTTATTTTGAAAGATGAAGCTTGCGATTATGGTAAGGGGCGTTACATTTCCGACGAGTGCTTGCGGTGTTCGGCCAATCACAATGCACTGGGTCAGCTGGCCAATCAGAGCAGACTGCGCTTGTCAAATACACAAAATAATGATCTTTAAAAAAGCATCATATGACCCCTTTAAAGGCGGTTTTCTCAATATTTAAATTTTTTTTCACCCTCATATTCCAGATATTCAAATAGTTGTATCTCTGCCAAATATTGTCCTATCCTAACAAACCATACATCAGTAGAAAGCTGATTTATTCAGCTTTCATATGTATAAATCTAAATTTACCCTTATGACTGGTTTTGTGGTCCAGGGTCACATATTTTAAGGTTTTTAACATCACTCACCACAACAGTCACTCCATCATGCACCAGGGAGGAAGACGCATACAGGCCAGAGGAGTGTTTCCCTACATACAATGTGGACCTGTCAGAAAACCAGCAAGAAATAGCAAATTATTCATATTTGGTTTTCTAAAGTCACATACTTTGACTGATAACATCTTGCCAAGGAACTGCTAAGTTTTATACAATGGCTAATCTTTATTCATCCAGGCAATAATACTGCATACTGAAAGTCTTTTGGATGATGACAACAACACTCCCACAAAGAGATCTATAGTAATAATGTGTGGAGTTTGATCTTACCCCAGTTACTGAAATATATAAAGTGCTCTGCTCTAAACATTGTACTACAGAGAGTTTCTGCTCAAAGCTAGGGTTGGCTGCATACCATTTTTTTTGTCTGGTATAAATACTGATACTGCAACCTTGAGATACTAATGCCAATCCAATACCAATAGCTTCACATTTCTTTTAAACTCTCCAGAATGTCTTGCCCCATACACTTTCATTTTAAGTGCAGGACTGTACGCACAGTTTTTGCTTTTGCAAACTGAGGAATGAGTCAGAATTATTTTCTGTAGTAGAATCACATATGCTGCACATAGAGCTGATCTTGAATTTAACTTAGAAAATGAACAAAAGTCACAGCAAACATCGCTCTATAATGAAAAGTTGAGAGGAAAGGTACGCTAGAGTATTGAATCTCTTCAACAGATTACTCAGCCATTTTCAGCAGGGTTTTAAAATTCTATTAATTGTGTGTCTGAATGATGAGTTCCATGCAGTCTGACCCGAGTATCGGTATGCAATTCTACTCAAAGCATTTAAGTGTTGAATCTGTACTGAAAATGCAGGCTACGCATCTTTGAATTTCTAGAATCAGTTCTTTCCCACACTTCATGAACACAGACAGGATGTGGCTTAGATATTGGAGATGCAACATGCAGGTTCAATTATGTATGCAGGGTCCAAAATTAGAGCTTGCTAAGTGCCAAGTGTAAAATGTGGCTTCACCATGTAAATATAAGAGAAAATCAAGAGGTGGCATTCCAGCAAGAAACTGGCTAGCATGTGATGCTGGAAGTAACATGATGACCAACACTGTTAATAAGAATAATAATATTTTTTAGGGAAATAAAACGACCTGTAAAAATTCCAGTCATTTTTCTCAATTTACTTGCAAAAGACACACACACACAATCAGTATTTTGTCTTGTTAGAAGGGCTCCTTACATCAGTTTATCTTTGGTTTTCTTCTCCTGAGGAAATGGATACTTCCACTGTGTAATGCGGCCCACCTCTCCTGACATGAATGTGATGTAACGCAACGTTTCCATAGCAACATTGGTGTGAGGGACTTTGCGCAGTCCCTCGCGCTGCCAGATGTAGATCGCCACCACAGGGGAGTTGTAGTTCTGAACCCACTGCACGTCTCCGGACTCACTCTCCACTGTCACCACTAGGCCGTCACCGTTGGACACAAAGTGGGCCATATCTGTCAAACACAGGAAACAATGTTATGTGCTACGAAAGAGGATTGAAAGGGTTTTCAAATTGATAAAGATCAATTCAGCTGATGCCTCACTGTGTTTGGTGTCGTCGTCTGGAAGGGTGAAAGCGTAGTCAGAATAAGTAGCGTTCCAGCGCAGCTCTCTGCTCTTGGTGTCATACATAGTGATTGTGTATTCTGAGGAACAACACATGATTCAACAGATCAGCAAAGCGTAATACTCATACTTAGTAAGATCAACAAAGGATATCTTTGATATTCAGATCATATGGGAGTCGTTTTGAGTCTTTGCATTAGGCGTGTATCGACTCCAGCAGATGTGTCAGTATTCTGTAATACAGCTTATTGCATGAATTAATATGCACAATATTGTTACTGTGAGCCATTAATAATTCTAGATAACATATTAGCAGCACAATTGTTTACATTTCTCTAAACTCACTGTAGCTAATTTCCACCAACAAGTCAAAATGTAGAATGTACTAATGTACCCTTGCTAATGGGCTGTTTAACACTCCCCAGCTGACTGAGTGCAAAACCTACGATAAGATGCATAAGATGAGAATTCTTAAGACTACAGGGGTAAAAAATGTAACTTATAATGAATGTGCATTACAGAATTTAATATATAATGAGTAATAATAATAATCCCAGTGTGTTACAGAGGTGGTCTCAGGTTACAGGTTGTTGCCACAGAGCATGTGAAACTAAGGAAACAAAAGCACAAGTTTGTGCCAAGTTCAAATTTCCGCATTATTATACATAAATGTGTGTCAGTTTTTAATAACATTTATTTTTGCACTCATGCAATTGTGATATATTATGCACATATGAATATTTGGAGAATTAGAATGAACATGGCATTGCTTGTGTTATGCAAGACACAACAAAAGGGTGCAGCAATATTACAGTAACAAAGTTCTCTGGTATCTTTTTTCAATCCAATCAATTTTGCGATCTTGAAATGGCCCAGTTGCTTTTGTATGAAACAAAAAAATAAAGTGTTGCCGTGGACAACATTGAATATATCTGACTACTAAATGTTGCAATTGATCAGAATCACACATTTTAGACAACCATGTAAAAAAACGTCAAAGTTATCTTAATTATCCAACTTAATTTAAAGATTACTCCCCTATTCATAACAGTCTTCATTTATATTTTACCAATAAACATTCGATCACATGAAATGCAATACTTTGCATATTCAGCAGTATATAAATCATCATTTTTTTGGTGGACTGATTTAAATGTTCATTAAGCACAACAATGAAATGTGTTTGTTTCAATGCTTTTCAATACCGTGATAATACAGAATATCCTGATAAAAATTTGATCAATTATCATGATTTGTAAAAAATTGATACCGTCTCATGCCTCCGCTCCAGTAACAGTATTACAGCATTCAGAATTTTGATAAGCACTACTACTCCTAAAGTGATCTTTCGTTGCTCATATAGACACAAACAGAGATGGTCTCATCTAAAGTCAGAACTTGGGACAGGTCTTGGCCCTTACCAGTGCGGCCGAGGTAGAGCAAAGATGAAGATGGACATAACATCTCAGCATAGGATGAGGTCAGTGTCTGCTGCTTCTCACCAGTCAGCAGATCCACAACATACCACAAGTCTTGCTTCTTACCTACGAACAAACAATCAAAACCTTCATGTACTCAAGCACAGGCCAGCATACAATTATGAAAGTGCAATTCGCATTCAATTCAAAGTTTAATTCAGAATCAGCTCTTTGAGCAGCATCTGCGATTCTACTACAGAAAATAATTCTGACTCATTTCTCAGTTTGCAAAAACACTGCACTTTAAAGGGAAGAGTACGTGACAAGACATTCTGAATAGTTTAAAGGAAATGTGAAGCTTGTACGTTTGTTAAAGCATTCATAGCACTTTACATGTCTTTGTATCACATAAGTCTCATGTTTACATATACAATACCTGTAATCATTTATATGTAAATGCTTATCTTTTGTGGTAATCAAGAGCATATCACAAAGGCTGATCATAAAACAAAGAATGGAGCTGATTAACTGGAGGGGAAGGGGTGGGTTTGGTGACATCAGCTAGTTCAAAGTAAAAAAAAAATATTTGGAAAACTTTGCACCAATGAACTGTATACAATAATGGCAAGAACAAATACAACACTAATGAACAAGAATTATTTCATAAGATGTAAAGATAGAACATTTACATATTCAGTGCAGGGGTTTTCCCAAGTGCTTCTTGTTTTCCCATTTCAATTATCATTTTAAAGACCAAAATTTCACAGACAACTGATGCAGCATGGGTAAATGTTCTCTCCAGGATGTGTAAACAGACATCAACACTTCAGTTCAAACACACCACATGTTTACGCTCGGAAACAAGTGTGGCTTCGAGTGAAAAGAGGTTATTTCCTGTGGGTTACACTGTGATATTCAGCATATGAGATTCAATGCAGAGAGGAACTTAAAAACTGATGTTTAAACAGTTGATAGGTCTCATTTAAAGAGATTAAGTATCGGGATCTTTCATTGTTTAACTTTCGGGCCTGTCTGCAGTCTGATTTAATCAGTGTTTGACCTTCTTCCTTTGGGTGTCATTATAGATGTAGCTGTGCCTGTGCCTTGTGCACATTTAGGAGTTTAGAAAGGGTGGTACAGACAGACATCTTCTTGTGGTGTTTGCACTGAGATCATGAAACAATCCCACAGTGCCCACCCACCCACGCACAGGGAGACCACTAGGAACTGGCCAGTTCCTCAAACAGCAACCTCTGCTGACAGTCTAATCATGTTGAAAATTAATGTTTTTTTATTTATGGTTACGGGTTTGTTCAAATCTCTACCTTAACAACAAGACATAGATTGCCAATGATGCTTGGATGAACGGAACTTGAGAATGAGGGTCAAATTAATAATTACAAAAGAATGAATGAGAAAGAGTCTCTCACCCGTGTATAAGATGCCATCAGAACTGCGACAGGGAGATGCCTGGACCAGCTCAGGAATGGTGAACGGCAGTTTCTGCAACATCCCCAAATATTAAATATAATATTTGTTACTCCATCCAAAATTACACATAGCAACTTTTGGTAACACTTTAGAATAGGGAACACTTATTCACTATTAACTACGACTTTTCCCTCAATAAATTCCTAATTTGCTGCTTATTAATAGTAAGTAAGGTACTTGTTAAGTTTAGGTATTGGGTAGGATTAGGGATGTAGAACAAGGTCATTCAGAATAAGGCATTAATGTGTGCTTAATTAGTACTAATAAATGGCTACAATTCTAGTAATATGCATGCTAATAAGCAACTAGTTAAGAGACTCTAACACAAGGTGTTACCCAACCTTTTTCTTTTGCTTCAAAATGATATTTCTCTTTTTTTTTAAAGCTATCACTACTAAAAATAACACCCTTAGATTCCAGAGAATGAGGAAGTCCTTCATTAAAAATGAAATAAAGTTATCTCTCACCGTCAAACCCTCATTATTTTTCCCTCCGAGAGAGTACAAACTGCCATCATTGGGGTCTGGGAGAAATGCAGGCCTGTAAAAATAAGAATTGAATTTGTTCAGGATTGTCATGTTGTATGACTGATGTACCTGCATTATGGGTTTTTTTTTTCACAGAAAACAAAAGAACAGCTAATATATTTGTGACAAAAGTGGTCACTATGAACTATTTGTTGTATTCCAAATAAACAAGCAAACAAAAACAGCAGCACACAGATTTTAGATTTTTTTTATGCTGCTGGGTGTTTTTATCTGTGGCTTTAGTTAGATGGTGTCATGAATAGGAAGAATCGTGCTAGCTCAGCATCTTGCACAGTTCCTGTTGTTTCACTTGTCATGCACAAAAGCTCAAGTATAAATAAAAGAAGGCTTACTCTGACACATGCGTTGGGACTTGCAAAACAGGATCTGCATTGGAAATGAAAAATGTGTCAGTTAAGAGTTATAAACTTTGTCACAGGCAAATGAAGGGATGAGCAAACATGAAGACAATATAAAGCAAAGAAATTGTTGGGCGTAAAACTTGGATGTAAACTTAATGGAGATTAATATCTTTGCGTAAATGAATCCATTAGTTCTTAGTACTTCCAGTATCTGCTCTAGACCTAGATCATTAAACCTATGAAGTAACAAATAGAAGTATGAGAGTTATGCCTGATCACCTGTGTGAACATAGTTCTGCTTCAGGGAGGCATGCGGACTGCAGATGTGGCCAGAGCAATAAACTGCAATGTCTGCAATGTAAGACGCCTAAGACAGTGTTACAGGGAAACAGGAAGGACAGCCATGTGTCCCCCCAAACTAATGCCTTGCTAATGCATTGGTGGAAGAGTTTAGCAACATCTCACAGGAAGAACTGGCAAATCTGGTGCAGTCCATGAGGATGAGATGCTCTAGTACTTACAGCAGCTGGTTACCACACCAAATATGGACTGCGACTGTTAGTATTAAAAGTAGGGATGTACGATATATCGGCCACCATATCGGTATCAGCCGATAAATGCACATTTTTCTGTTATCGGTATCAGCCCGATAAGAAAATTTGGCCGATATCTTAAAGCCGATAAATAATGCATTATTTCCTTTAGAGACACTTCAGATGCGCGCTGTTCGTTTGCAGCCTTTTGTGCAATTGTATGTTGTAATATTGTTTATTTGATGTATATCTGATTTATCTCATATAGAATGCATTTGGTTAAGTTAAAAGAGCGCTTCAGTTTACCGGTGATCATCTTTAGCTCAGCGCACGCAGCTCAAACAGCAGTGCACAACATTAATAACTATGATTGGGAATGTTGTGTATATAACATTCTAATGAGAACATTATTATAATAAAACATTGTGAATTTTTTGTTTTTAGTTGGCATGTTTCAGCGCGTTGTTATGGGAAGAGCGCATCCACAACAGGATCACACATTCTGACTACAGCACGCAATAACTGCGTCATTTTGTACATATATAAGTTGTAATATTATGTTTATGTTGTATTAATATTAATCTCAGGATGCATTTCCTTGAGTTAAATAAGCTGCCAGCTCTTCAGCTTCACCACGCGCAGCTCAAACGGCTGCTATTTAAAACAGTGGTATTAATTTGTTACTTTTTCAAAATCATTGATACAGAGGCTATTCTGTTTTATTGATGTATGGGGCATTCATTTTGATTCTTTACACGTGTAATGATGTCCAGTGACTTGTTTGCATTATTTATGCATTATTTTATTTATTTGCAAGACTTTTTTAATGACTAAATTTGGTAATGGGAGAGTAAAATTATTTTAAAACGTACACCGTTCAAACTAGGCTGCTTATGTTGAAGTGTTTTTGTAATCAGGCTCTAAAAACAGTATAATAAAATTTGGATATACGTAAATCGGCCAACATATCGGTTATCGGCTTTCAAAAATAAAGAATTATCGGTTATCATATCGGCCAAAATTTTCATATCGGTGCATCCCTAATTAAAAGCCAAGTAATTCAGATTTACCATCCATGGCAACTGATCGAGTCTGACAACACACTTAACACAGACTGCACAACGCAAATCGCTGTGGGTGTGTAGCGCAACAGCCTATAACGTCTGCCGCAGTCCTGTAGCGCCAGCGTGAATGACTGGCTCAGCCTGTACATCAGGTTTCTAAGAGACACAGCAGGTGAATGAAACGCAACTTGCTGTGGCCGTGTGAATATTGAAAAGTAAAGCCAATGTGTGGCTAGTGTGACAACGATGGAAGATTCCATTCAATGCATGTTAATACAGCAGAAGTGGAGGGTGCATTAAAATGTATTAAATGGAACCATCCCTCATTCATGTGATGTTCTGGGAGAAAGCTTGAGAGGAAATGAGATGTGCCTGGCCTTGATGACGCACTGTTTGCATGTCAATAGGTTAATGTTACCCACAACAGATATGACAGATGTTATGATGAATAACAAGTCGAAATCATAACTGTTTCAGTTGGCTAATTAACACAAAATCTTTTTTGTTTTGTTTTTTCAAAAATAAACTAACGGAGAGCTCCAGCTCTAAATTCCAATTGGATGAAAAATAGCCAGCATAAACACAACTGTGACTGAACATCAGTTGCATTCTATATTAACGCACTTATAATTTTTTAATAGAATTTTTAAATCAACATCAAAATTTTGGGATAAAATGTGGGAAAGTGAATTTCTAAATACCTTCTTACATTCACTAGTTCGTTTAGAATGTTTCTCTGGCGTGACAGAATACTTTTTTAGTACAAATACATGTAGGCCTAGTCTTTAAATTAGTATGCGGTCACATAAAAGAATTTTGAAAAAAAAATGTTGTGTAAGATAGAAATCAGAATTTAATTTTTGGGTGAACTATCCATTTACTAAAGCTCATGCTGTTCATTCTTTATATGATAAACGGATTTAATTTAGGCTTTTATTCACATATAAACACTGTTCAGTATACACGCATAGAGCTCATCAAATATGGTAAAAACAGAAGCTTTACCATGCTTGCCTGATGTGTGAGAATAAAACTAATTGGTTCCCATGCATCAAGTAAGCACGCATTTGATAAGTTCTTATGTTGATCAATGTTTATATATGAACAAAACCCTAAATTAAACATGTTCATCAAATGAAGTGATCGTGTCTCTTCAGAAGACTTGAGATTAAACTGATAGATCAATAAGAATTACTTTTACGAGGTGTCCTTGTACTTTTCAACCATACTAATATTGTAGGAGGACATCATGCAAAGGCAACTACAGATAGCCTATTCTTTGTTTCTAGTTAAAGAAAATTTCAGAAATTCCAAAATTCCATATTTATGTGTGTGTGTTTGTACTGTCATTATACTTGACAGAAAATAGGCATTTTATTTCTTTGTTTGTCAGTTGTTTACGTGTTTTACAGTTTTCATACTCTACACTTTGCCCATCCTGTTTTATGTAGGCCCACCCGCTTAAACATTTTTGGATTCGCCCCTGGTTCAAGGATCCAGTAAGCAAATGGATTCAAACAATCAGTCCAAAACCATGCACTGCACTAATGCAGAGAAATCCAAGCTGATTGCATCAGAGATGGCAGAGAGATAGAGACTTGTGTCCAGTTTTCCCCCAATTTATTATTCCAGCGTGTGTTTGGCTTTAAAACACAAATCTCTCATATTCTCTTCTATGATTGTTTCTATGGACCACAAGCCCTCTTACATCACGCTTTCTGAAATATAGACTGAATGACAGATCAAAACATTCCACAGCTGCATGGGGACATGCTACATAAACTACATTTCCCAGCTGGATAACGCAAACCTGTGTCTCTAGTAAAGTTTTGATTGATGACAATTGTAATCATATCAATTGTAAAATAAATAAATAAAAAACCCTCAAACCAGAACATCTATATAGATTTTCAAACTTTTCATGCCACTCAAATCCTGGCCTTAATATTTTTTTTTCTTGGAAGTTTTTCATACAAAACAATGCTAGACAGTTTTTTCAGTTTGAATCTGAACGTCTCTTTTTCTTGTCCCTGTACTACCAGTAATGTTCAAGTGTCTGCTTTCAAAAGAGACCAGGATTCTGGTCTAGACCAAAGGTTTAAAGATCTGCAGCCATTACATTTTGGATGTCATTTTTGGCTTGTGGAAGTGAATGTTACACTACAGAAATATAAAATAAGTATTGTTATTATTGAAGAACAAACAGTTCTTGAAATTGATGAAATCACAAAATGAATCTTAGTTAATTCATTTGCTTTATCGCCACTCCAAGGAGCTTTGCCATAATTACAGAAAAAAATTACCAGAAGCAATATCTTTCCCCTAATAGAAGAAGAATATTCCCTTCTCCTCAGGTTAAGAGTTTGGGTGTCCTCCTGGACAGTACACTGTCATTTCAATCACATATTAATAAAATACATCATGCAAAGGCAACTACAGATAGCCTATTCTTTGTTTCTAGTTAAAGAAAATTTCAGAAATTCCAAAATTCCATATTTATGTGTGTGTGTTTGTACTGTCATTATACTTGACAGAAAATAGGCATTTTATTTCTTTGTTTGTCAGTTGTTTACGTGTTTTACAGTTTTCATACTCTACACTTTGCCCATCCTGTTTTATGTAGGCCCACCCGCTTAAACATTTTTGGATTCGCCCCTGGTTCAAGGATCCAGTAAGCAAATGGATTCAAACAATCAGTCCAAAACCATGCACTGCACTAATGCAGAGAAATCCAAGCTGATTGCATCAGAGATGGCAGAGAGATAGAGACTTGTGTCCAGTTTTCCCCCAATTTATTATTCCAGCGTGTGTTTGGCTTTAAAACACAAATCTCTCATATTCTCTTCTATGATTGTTTCTATGGACCACAAGCCCTCTTACATCACGCTTTCTGAAATATAGACTGAATGACAGATCAAAACATTCCACAGCTGCATGGGGACATGCTACATAAACTACATTTCCCAGCTGGATAACGCAAACCTGTGTCTCTAGTAAAGTTTTGATTGATGACAATTGTAATCATATCAATTGTAAAATAAATAAATAAAAAACCCTCAAACCAGAACATCTATATAGATTTTCAAACTTTTCATGCCACTCAAATCCTGGCCTTAATATTTTTTTTTCTTGGAAGTTTTTCATACAAAACAATGCTAGACAGTTTTTTCAGTTTGAATCTGAACGTCTCTTTTTCTTGTCCCTGTACTACCAGTAATGTTCAAGTGTCTGCTTTCAAAAGAGACCAGGATTCTGGTCTAGACCAAAGGTTTAAAGATCTGCAGCCATTACATTTTGGATGTCATTTTTGGCTTGTGGAAGTGAATGTTACACTACAGAAATATAAAATAAGTATTGTTATTATTGAAGAACAAACAGTTCTTGAAATTGATGAAATCACAAAATGAATCTTAGTTAATTCATTTGCTTTATCGCCACTCCAAGGAGCTTTGCCATAATTACAGAAAAAAATTACCAGAAGCAATATCTTTCCCCTAATAGAAGAAGAATATTCCCTTCTCCTCAGGTTAAGAGTTTGGGTGTCCTCCTGGACAGTACACTGTCATTTCAATCACATATTAATAAAATCACCCGGTCCACCTATTTTCATCTACGTAATATTAACCGCCTTCGCCCTTCCCTTACCCCTCATACTACTGCTATTCTTGTTCACAGTCTTGTCATCGCCCATATCGATTATTGTAATTCTCTTCTCTTTGGTCTTCCTCACAAATCCCTCTATAAGCTTCAATTGCTTCAAAACTCAGCAGCCCATATTATCGCCAGAATCTTAATCGCCAGAGACTTAAGTCTCACCTGTTTAAGATTGCATATCTCACCTAAAGTTTAATTATCTCGTCCTACTTTACTCTGTTTTGTCTTTGTATATGGCATTTCTTGTTTGTTTTCTATTGTCTTGTTTGTAAATTTATTGTGCGGTGTCCTTGAGTGTTGAGAAAGGCGCCTATAAATAAAATGTATTATTATTATTATTATTATTATTATATCTTAGCCTGTATGGGCCTTCGAATATTTTGTCGACTATTGAGGGCCTTTAAGTCAAAAAAGTTGAGAACCACTGATAACAATATTACACACCAGCAAACAATAGTGCTGGTATTCACTTTCACAGGCTGGGCGTCCACTGTTTTCATTGCAGTTTGCACTGTGGTGTGAGTAATTTGATACAAAACTTACTGGTCTCGAAAGAAGCGCATATACATACCTTCTTTTAAGGTCCATTTGATTGTTCCGGATCTCTTGCTGACCGCGTAAAGGTTTCCGTCCAGTGTGGACACAAAGAGCAGGCTCTCTGGTACAGACACCGTACTGCTGCCGCAAAAGCCCTGCAAACACAAAGCTTTACTGAGGAGATGCTCTCTATATTGCTCAGGCTCTGATGCAAGATTTTGAGACAAAATATTTTACACACTATTAGAGAATAACCTGCTAGTAATATTTTGAACGTTTACACAGTGCATTATTACTAAGAATGTTATATACACGACATTCCCAATCATAGTTATTAATGTTGTGCACTGCTGTTTGAGCTGCGTGTGCTGAGCTAAAGATGATCACTGGTAAACTGAAGCGCTCTTTTAACTTAACCCAACGCATTCTATATGAGATAAATCAGGTATACATCAAATAAACACAATATTACAATGTACAATTGCACAAAAGGCTGCAAACGAACAGCGCGCATCTGAAGTGTCTCTGAAGGAAATAATGCATTATTTATCGGCTTTAAGATATCGGCCAAATTTTCTTATCAGGCCGATACCGATAACAGAAAAAATTAGCCGATATGGGCCGATACCGATATGGTGGCCGATATATCGTGCATCCCTAGTATAATGGTACCCTGACATCATGAGACAAGTGACGTGATATGTATCCAAGTATGGTGTTCCATACTCTGAATTTGTGCTCTGCATTTAACCCATCCAAGTGCACTCACACAGCAGTGAGTAGTGAACACACACAGTGAACACACACCCGGAGCAGTGGGCAGACATATTGCAGTGGCACCCAGGGAGCAGTTGGCGGTCCAGTGCCTTGCTCAAGGGTCTCACCTCAGTCGTGGTATTGAGGGAGGAAGAGAGCACTGGTCCTTCGCTCCCCCCACCTACAACCCCTGCCGGTACTGAGACTTTGAACCCGCGACCTTCGGGTTACAAGTCTGACTCTCTAACCATTAGGCCACGACTGCCCCCAAGACAATTATCTAATGTTACTTTAAACCCAAGTTGTCCATCTCAAACAGAAATACTTGTTGGCCAATGCAGACGATTAAAAAATTGCCAAATATCATCTGGTAATAAGCCCTGCCAGTATATTGGTTGACCACTACTTCTGTGTTTGAAACCCATAATAAACACTTGAAAACATATACTTCTGCTGAATGACTGATGGGAAGGAGTACTAAAAACTAGTGCTGTGTTCAAAATATCTATACGACGATGTATCGTCAGGTTGCCTGATATAAAGAGACGTAATCCCCAAAACAGAGCTTTACACTTGCGCAATACGGAAATATCTGCTAAATGTGCTACTTATCACTGTCAACCTGGCAACCATGTGCACACGCGCTCTCTCTCCACTGTGGATAAACGCGCTTGCTTTCTGAAAACAGTGGTAAACAGCCAATAGTTAGAAATGGCACTATAATAAGCAGTGTTTAATAAACAGCTGTTTTTCTAAATTCTGCTGAGGTGAACTTCAGTGCAGTCATGTATCATGATACGTATCATATCGTGGCCTCTGTATCGTGATACGTATCGTATCGTGACTTTGCTGGTGATACACAGACCTACTAAAAACTGCTATCTTTTTCATGAAACCCTTTAATATTCCACCTGCAGCAAGGGTACTGGAGAATATCCAGAAATGACATCAAAATAACTTTAACATGCCTAGTGTTAGACAGGCACAGTCAGAGCAGTCAGTTTTGAGTTTTGGCCCATTCATCCACAGACCAACCCAGAACTGGAGCAAAAATTTTATGAAATTATCATTTTAATTTTAATGAACAGCTGTTTATGGATCTATTCAGGCCAACATGCAGTTTGCAGTTATCACAAATTTTTGCTTAACAGAGAGGTGTTCTAATCTTTTTTCCATCACACTGCGAAGAAAACTGGTCAGTCAATAAGGCCCGTTAACACCAAGAATGATAACTATAAAGATAACTATATATAGTTACAAAAGCGTACAAACCAGCGAACGATATCGTCTGTTTATTCTAAGCGCACGCTTGTCTGCCGCTTTAAATTCTCAAGCTCGTTATAAGCAGGATTGTTTCTGATTGGCTGTCAATGTTTTTATTGTTCATCAGCTGGAAAAAATCATTCTGAAAGTGATTCCAACAATATCGTTTTCTTTGTGCCTTTATCGTTACAGCTGCGGTGTGGACTCTGCTATTCTTTAATATTGAGAACGATTTTTAGAACTATATCTTTATCGCTATCTTTATAGTTATCGCCATTGATGTGAACAGGCCTTAACACTTTTGATCACATATCCAGACTGCTGCTATATTACGAGAATCTATATATTTTATACATTTGGCTACATATTTTGCTAAGAAACAGTGGGAAGAATCCAGAGGCAGTATTTGCTCTTGAGTCTGTACTCGTATATTTGGTGTTGTTTAACAAACAGCATAGCACAGACAAAAATTATAACAGCGGTTTGAAAACATTTAAATACAATTAGACTTCCTTTCTTCTCTGTAAAATGCGGGTGTCAGGAACAAAAAGTTGCACTTCCTTGGAAGTCTTGACTTCCATAATCGCCACCCAATTTCATATTTGAGAGTGATTTTGCATTTTCATTCTGCCCAGCTGGTTTATGTTTTCACGCAATAACACAACATATATGCAAATATATCATGAAAGCACCCAATAATGATATGAAATGTGGATGTTTTACATGCCTGAAACACAAAGTGAATAATCTACTTTTTATCAACTTCCTCAGTTCAGCGACTGTTGGAGGAACTGGAACGCTGAATGACTTGGCAAAAATCAGCAACCGTTTCAGATGGTTCAGTCTGATTTGGTGAACTATTCAGACCTATTCCTAATTTACCTTTTATAGCAAACATTTTAGAGAAATCAGCACTTCTACAGACATTATTTCATACACAACATAGTCGTGAGATGCAAGAAACATAGACATATGGCAAGAAATCTGTAGACGCGCCCATAACAACAAAAGACAATACTTTATTGAACCTTTTCTGATAAGAAGTGTGCGCTGCAAACGCGAGCATATTTGACGATCCTTTCTGTCCAGTCTGCTCGTTTTATCACGTTTAACCACAGCTGTCGTCGTTTTTTTTTGTCTGGCAGTGGCAGCAGATATGCGATCAAATTTCTAATTTGAGGCTGTATTACGTCGATTCTGGCACCCAACATCGCAACAAGATGATATTTTAAGCTCCTTATGTAGCCGAACCTGCGCTGGTTTGAATGGGCCGCCTCCAGTTTCCCCTTTGTTTTGCTGCCTCCAGCTAGCGCTGTGACGTCGCTGACCCTAGTTACCTGTGGTTGGCCTGGCCGTGCGTCACTCAGAAAACAACAGGCCAATCAGAAGAGATGCTCATGAATATTAATTAGACAGACCAAAATCGACCTGTTCTCAGCAGAGCTCCTGAGAAAGGAGCTGTAAAAATATATTGAGATGGTTTTTGGTACTTATACCGCAAATATATATTCTTAAGGACATCAAAACCTCAAATAAAACTCCAGAAAGGTGTACAATATGGGACCTTTAATCAAACAACAAAACGGCTTTAACAAAGATTAATCTAAATTTAATTCATACATACAGTGAAGACTATGCAGTGTTATTTTACACTTAATTATAAAATTTCTGTACCTGAATACTACTGTTTATCTATGCTTGAAATTGTGTATTTCTTTTTTTTTTTACTGACTGTTCACTTGCCTTTAATCATGTTTGAACTTTCTCAGACTATAGTTGTTGCTGTGGTATATGAAGAAGTACTTAGTGTATGGAAAGCAAAGTTACAATGATATAAAATTAGTGTCATTAATTTTTTTGTTTGAATGTTCACACTGATGTTAACATAACATTTTCTGATTTGTGACATTACTTTATGTACTGCTAAAACACTGCTGGTCACTTTCAGAAGTTGTAGTGATTCTTTCTTTTCCAAGAAAGAATGTGAAACAAATTGGTTATATAATTTTAATTTTTAAATATTTTTAAATATAATTGAAATTGATTTTACACACTTTAAGCAATATTGTATCGCATATCGAATATCGCATTTTTTTAACAAGGTATCGCATATCGCATTTTTCTTCAATATCGCACAGGCCTACCTGGCACCCTTTTATCTCACTGGCTTATTAAAAGATAATAAGCCAACAAGATGTCTGAGATCGACAATAAACCTCTCCTTAGCTCAGTCTAGATCACGGTTAAAGACAAGCGTTGGACCGAGGCTATGGAATAACCTTCCTTCATCTGTGAAAGATTCAAAGTCTGTCTATGAGTTTAAAACTAAGTTGAAATCCTATTTTCTTACCTTGGCTTTTTAACTTTGTATGTTACATTTTTGTTCTGGATTTTATTGGTGTTTTTATTATTATTATTTTCTTCTTTCTGGCTTTTTATTCTATTTGTACAGCACTATGGTCAACTGCTGTTGTGTTTATTGGTGCTTAATAAATACATGAATGAATGAATGAATGAACTAGTTCAAAGAACCGATTTGTGTTCCCCGATATGCGATATGCCATGGTTTCAACTACAAATCTTCTTTACTGTTCTACTGACTAAAAAATCTTAAATAGCCTGAGGGTGAGTAAATTCACAGCAAGTTTTCATTTTTGGGTAAACTGTCCCTTTAAGCTACAACACGTAATCACCTATTTCCATTTTTCTCTTTTAAAAGGTATAAAGTGAATCCAAAAGTTGCTTCAAAAGTTAACAAAGCCCAGTATTTTTAGATTTCAACCAAAAAATTGTTTAAGCAAGGGAATAAATGCACAAACAGAGACCACTCAAAATCACCAGATCAGGTGGCCAGTTGCATAAAAGGCTTAGACTAGTCTTAAAAGTTAGTCGTCTAATTTTTTTCTTTAGCTTGGTCCAACTTGAATACGAAAAATAAAGCTGGTTACCCCTTGGCTAATTGCTAGTTGGTCAAACTAATTTTTAAAGGGGTCCTATTATGCTTTTTCACTTTTTGAATTTTAGTCTGTGTAGTGTGTATGTTTTGGGCATAAAAAAAGATCTACGAAGTTACAAATCTCAAAGTCCACTCCAAAGGTAGATATTTCGTTTAAAAAAAATCATTTTTCAAGAACTA